GGGTGTGGGGGTGGGTGGGGGTGGCGGTGGATGTGGGTGTGGATGAATTGAACATCCACACCCACACCCACACCCACATCCACACCCACACCCACACCCACACACCCACACCCACACCCACACCCATCAAGAATGAATTATTGATAGATTCTTTCCCGAAATATCACAAACATAAGGGTGTTAAAACAACAGATAATCTCTAAAATTTTCTCCTGGAAAAAACCAAGCTATCTGAATACGCTCATATTACTACCCTGTTTGATTTAAAAATACAACTACAGCATTTAAATAAAGTCAAATCAGCTCGATTTCATCTGCTACATGCCTTTTGATGAGGCTTTTTTACTTGGACTAATTTGAAAAAGATTGCTCCTAGAAAGACAAATATGTCAATGGATGAAATTCATCCGATTGCTTTACTCTTTGATCAATGCTCATGTCGAAGAATGAATAGGCTGTGTGTTGCAAAAACATTCTGCTATGAAGGGCATTTGAAAAATTATGAGGTTATCTAATGCTGTAAATGATGATTCTTTGTTTTGATGTTCAATTCCTACGTTTTGATAGACTTTGTTGATGTTCAAATAGTTTATGTGATACCACTACATCATTAAAAGAGTTCTATAATAAGTTCTTAACTTCACTATTTTATTAATTGATTGTAAAGGTCATTCTGTTTGACATAGTTTTCAATAAAACTATTTTATATCGTAAAGCTGCTCCGATACAGACCATCGATTGCATATTCTAAGCATTGTCAATCAGAGCTTTCCTGATAATTATTTTCTGTTACTAAAACTGCCTTATTTTCATGTCCCCTCGTATTTTATTGTTTGTAATTACTTTCGATATTTAGGTTCAGTTTTATCGCTAGTCTAGTAATGTTGAAAATCACATATACATACTTGTTAAATGATATTGGAGTTTTCGAGTTTTGTTTTGTGTGCATGTAGTCGATTTTGCTTCATATTTATGATGGACGAAATTAATTAATTTTCGCCCACTTACACATGTTTATGTGAATCAATGGACCATGAAATTGTTATCAAGTAGGTAATTTGCTGTACAAGGTTGCGCTTGTCATTGCGTAGTTTCCTTTCGTTCAATATTCTTTCTCTCTTTATTGTCTTTCTGTGCATTTCATGCTATTACTAGGACGAAAAATATAACGATACTTGTATACAAGCATGCATTACATTTAACGGTGTGGGTGTAAGTTGAGGGTTACTTGAAACTCACATCCACCAACACTCACATCCACCAACACTCACATCTCAAAACACCCACGCTTACACTCACATCCACACCCTCAAGTGTTGTTGATCTTCTTCAATTAATTGTTCCCAAATTTCTATCATATCGTGATCAAACTATTTATCAAAGACAACAAAGTTTTCATCTCTTTTCACAAATAAACCAAATCTTTTCCTTTTTCGAGTTCTTCATTTTTAGTTAGTTTTTATGAACGAGCACAAATGTTAGTATCTGATATTTGGAGATATTTTAATGGACATAATTTAGGACATTTCACTGATATGGTTCGTTGTTTTATTTTTAATTAATTATTTAAAAGTAAAAGAAAATTTTTTTAGGATGGTTTAATAATGTTTGCTGATTATCGTGTTCCTCAAGTTTTATCTTATGAAGGAATATTAATTTATTCATTATAATTAAAAGAATTTTTAAAACTTGAAGAATTCATTTCATTTCATGATCAAGATGAAATACAAATTCGTGCTGGATCTATTCTAGTTGTTTAGTATCTTGTTAATCAAATTAATGAAAATATTCCTTTAGAAAAGGAGATATTGGAAGTGAAGGACAAAAACTAAACGCTGTAAGAATTTATGGCTTTTTTTGGAGAAAACGAAGGAAAAATCAAGACATTAATGGACAAACACCATTTCATCGAAATCGATCGATATTTTTATTAATTTTTTTTCAATTTCTTCTTCAATTGTTGGGAAGAAACCTCTCAATGATAAATGAATAGAAGTGAATGAATGCGAGGTCATGCCAATAAAAAAAATAACCGTATCCTTAAATTGAATAATAATGAAAAAAAAGAAAGATACACATGAATGAAAAGAAAAAAAGAAAAGATATTAGAAAACAAACAAAAGAGAAAGAGAGGAAAGAGAAGATGATACCATTTCCATCGACTGGTTTTGGAAAATAAATAATAATAACATATGTTGACGTTCCAATAGATTTTGGTCTATGGAGAGTTGGTCATACAAATCGATCAGCTCTTTATCATCTATGCGGTAATATCAATTTACATCCTCAATTATGAATTCAACATTTTTTACGAAAAACCAGGTGTGAATTTTCAATTTATCGTTTTTTTTCTGAAAAATGATTTTCAAATAATTGAAAAGATTTTCTGCGAAGTAGTGAAGCGTTAGAAATTATTTCCTTAATATTTTATTTGCTTGCTGCTCTCTTAATTCTAATTGAAATATTAAATATTCCACTGGAATCAAATCAAATGATATTGATAATCGCATCTGTCATTTTATGTATTTGTAGTAGGTAGAATTAATTTGAAATATTTTTGATTAAATTCAAGTGAAAGAATTTCTTTTTTTTTTTTTAGTCATATTTTTATCGACATCATTAGGTATTATTTCTGGTCAAGATCGAAAAAATTATTCATAAGCTTTTCATGATTGGGCTTGATGAAATGGTCTTGTTGACCCATGTGTTCGATTACGGTCAAACTACGGCACAGTGACACCGTAACTTCGATGGCACTGTGACTCGTAATTGTCAAAAAAAATGCGACGCAGTTACGCTTAACGGTATCGCACTCTTTGGCAATTACGGCGTAACTGCGTCGCAATTACTAATAGAAATGATATAGGTGATGCTTTCATTTTATTCATCATTTTATTGTGAATTAAATATTTTTAAAAACAAAACGATAAAAACTTAGAAAAAATACAAAATAAAAAATTAATAGGTAAAAGATATAAAAAAAATAAAAAAATTGAAGCGTAAAAAATACTAGAAAATTAAAATTTAATAAGTTACAAAATTTAAATCTAGAAAAATTAAAAAATTGCTAACGACGACAACAGTTTAAAGAAATTTTTTAAATTATTTTCGGAAAACATTCTTCCTCTTGTAGTAGAATCAATTATGAGCCGAAGTCTCGTGGAGACTGCTTTTTATACAATCTCTGTGTGGCTAAATCTTAGCGCTAGAATGTGACCAATTGCAATTAAGAAGGAATCACTTATAATTGGTCGGTGCGAGTTACAGCGGATCATACGATACTATTATTGCGATGCAGTTGGTAAAAAAAGGCGACATGGGCATTAATTATGGAAATCAAATAAATAGAAACCGAATACAATCAGTCAATGAGCAATATCGTGAAAATGCTACGGCAATTTTAGCACGAGAATATGTTCTTCGACTTACTCATGCACAATATAAACAATAGTTACTTCAACTATATAAAGAATATATTCAATATCAACAGCTATCTATAAACAATTCTTATCTTTAGCATATTATATTTCATAAATGAATTAAATATTGAAAGAAAAGAATTTTTTTTCTTCAGATCTTCAATATTATTTCTATCACCATTCATTGCTTGTGGACAACAAATATGCATGAAAAAGATGTTTGATTTAGTATTCAAGCCGGCATGAAAAAGAGAATGCTAGAAATTTCTGTTCGATGACATTTAGAAGAGCGAATAATTCTCGAGTAGTTCAGTTTAGATCACTTGCGCCATGACAATGCATTGATCTTTACAGAGATGAGAAAGATTTATCTCAGACGAATCCAACGGGATAGAAATAGTATTCACACAAACTGTTTGTTTCATTGAAATTATGTCTTAAGAAGTTCTTATCGATGAAGAAAAAATTCTTCTATTTAATACACTCCCTTGTCAATTTCATTTGAATGATAGAAATGAACAGGGAATGATATTCAAGTCAAAATTTTGTCACTTGTCTATATTTGATTGAAAATGGCAAGAAAACCGATTCGATTCATGCTTACTTCATTAGACATTTGTACAAATACATATTCGTTTGAGATATTCATTTTTTCGAAAATATTTATCAAAATGATTCAATTGGTTATTCCCTATAAAAAAACAGAGCTCTTGCTACTGCCTATCAATAGCTCAAAGTCTTTCATTAGCATTAAATTTCTTCTTCTAAAAATCCACTAACAGTTGTAATTCTATATGGCAATCAGATTGAGACAAACATCCAGAATCAATGATCATGTCATTTCTTTTGTGTTTAGCATCATCATTAACCTCTGATGTAGCTTGTTGAAAGAAGATTGTTCATAAAATTGAAAAAAGAACAAGAAATTAATTCATTTTGATCAGAAAAAAAGTGTGACAATACACAATAGCAGATGAACAATGATTGGAAAACAATGTAGAAACAACGCTGCAGTTAGGCCATGAATGGCATGATTATTACCTAGAAGAAGTGTAAAAGATTAAAGATAAATAAAAGAATGAAGTTTGAGAAAAAGACTAACATAACTTAATATGTGATGAAAAAATCGATCGTTGTTTTTTTCAAATTATCCAGAATGAGAATAGCTTGTGCGAAAGAGGAGGAGAATAGATCGCCAAATACAGTCGAATTAACCTTCTTGTTTCGCATTGTGTATAGAATACTTTCATAAATACTACTATAGTTACCGTTCCAATTGTATTAATTTTCTAATCAGAGTTCTCATATGACAGGACATCCTAAATACACACAGAGCATATTAATTCTGACTAGATTAGGTCACAGTTATCGAAACAATGAGGTACTGTAAAATTCGAAGATTTGATTCGATAAAACCTACTTGAGAATTGTTATCAATCCTTCATTGAGTATGGTCGATGACTATTGAACGACGTCGGCCACTGTCGTCATGAATGATGGAGATGGTAGTATCGAAATATTTTTCTAGGTGAGAAGAAGATAACGATGAATAAATTAGAAAGAATTTCTTCAAGAAAAAAAGTCAGATTCATTTTCAAGAAAGAATTATAAAAAAAGATAGGAATATTTCTTCGAAATTAAATAAATCAACTATTGAAGCGTAAACAAAATGCTATTTTTCTTAAAGCCTCCGTCATACACATGTCAATACGACAATCATTTTGCAAAAGTAGAAACAAATAGTAGCGATAGGTTTGAATACACCGAGTGGTAAGATGAAAATTTGAGAATATATCTTATGAATACCTGTTTAGAACAAAAAATAAGACTCACGCTCAGTATTGATTTGTTGAACAATTAGTAGATATCGAGCATGAAATTTAACTTGACACGTTTTTGCTTCGACAACGACTACATCAGAATACAAAATAGACTCCTGTTTGATCTTGCTTCAATTAGATGAGTTAAAGTTGGATGGTAAAGAACGAGGAATTACTAATGAAGTAGAACGAGAACGAGAGGACAGGCTTCCACAAACGTTCGGTAAACAATCGAATCCCAATACATAAAGATTGTGATTAGATATGAATGATTGAAAATGTTCGAATAGAGAGCAATAAAAGGAGAGTTCAGCAAAGAAAGAACTCGTTATCAAGTTATTGTTAAGAGTAGAAAACAAAAAATCATTTCAACTCTTCTCAAATGAAAAGGTTTGCTCTGAATAAGAGTTTATTTTTTTTTGCTGCTCTATCGGCGTTCGTTAGAGAGAATAAAAATGTTCGAACTCACCCATCAAATTGACTACTGTCGTTTGAGTACAGAGAGTAATGTCGACATAGCAACTGCAAAAGATCCATTAATGATAGTAATTTTTGTTCAATTGATGAGTAAGAGAGATCAAAGCTGTTTGATATTCATGTACATGATAAAATTCGCTCGATAGTCCATTGATCAAAGTCATACCGAGTGAACGCAGAGAATGAATGACACACCATTCAGATGCCATTCCATAGATTGCTGCTGATTGATTTTCGATCAGATTGAGACGTTTCTTCATTGAGTGCAATCTGTTATTGATTGAGCGAAGTTCTTCAATAAGGGTGTGAATGTGAATGTACGTGGTATGTATGGTGAAAAAGAAGAGATATACCTAGACTTACACTTAAAATCAAATATTTTGATTTTATGACGGTAGTTTTTAATCCATTTCTAATTCTTCACGAATCATGTATCGACGTTTATCGTAAACAGACGATTTTCGTGTTGTTAATTTGTTGAAACAAATCATTTCATCTGATTTCAATCTTTTTTATTATTTTGTCTTTATATGATTATGAAACGATACTACCTCATCATCGTCGCTCACTGTTATGGTCGACATCTATATGTTGAAGTAACTTCTTCTTTTTCTTTCTCATATCTCTCTTTCGTTATATATATATATGTTTTTTGTTTGTTATGATACGTTGTTGTTAAAATAAAGAAAAGAAAACAGTTGTTTATGATTTTCTTAAGATTGTTGAAAGAAGAATCATAACAGTGGTGACAGCGGTGAGACCAAATTAAAGCTCAACATCGGAAATAATTAATTTAATTAACTCCAGAATTTAGGGAACATCCTTCGTGAAAGGATTGTGCCTGTAATTTATTACACTTTATTTAATATGTCTCAGAGTACTCGATCCAAATTAGATTTACATACAACTGCCATGTCTGAACTACAGTGTAAATCATCTTCTCAACAAATAAAAAGTGAAATAGCTTCGCAATTAGAACAAGCCACATCTCTGTCGACAAGACACTATATTGAATCAGATGATGATAATAAAAAAGAAATTATTGATCAGACCCAATTATCTTCAAACGGATCTGGACAACTTGAACAACTTATTCAAAAACAATGTGATTATTGCTTTAAAAACTCAACATTTACGTGAACAATATCAAAGTCAATTACCAATAGATATTTTTGATAAAAATAACTATTATAGTCAACATCGTCGAACTTAATTAGTTCGTCATTTTTCTTTTCTTTTTTTCTCTTTCTATGATTCATTTGTTGTAGTCAGATATTTTTCTATTTTGTTGTTATTGTTAACTTTCTTTTTTTGTAACCCTCTCCTTTTTGTAAAAAAAAAAAGATTATTTCTATTTCATCGAAAAATCTTTTTTTCTTGGAGGATAGGGGTGTTATGGTCGACAGCTATATGTTGGAGTAACTTCTTCTTTTTCTTTCTCATATCTCTCTTTCGTTATATATATATATATGTTTTTTGTTTGTTATGATACGTTGTTGTTAAAATAAAGAAAAGAAAACAGTTGTTTATGATTTTCTTAAGATTGTTGAAAGAAGAATCATAACACTCACATCAAAAAAGAAAATCTTTTAAAAGAACCTTCAAGCATTTTCGATTCAGTTATAATACATTCTCAATGTTTATTTACTTTTGATAAGTCAAACAATTGGTTGTTGTAAACTTTAATCATCATGTTCAAAACTCTCAAGTATTCGAATGAACTAAAAAGCGACGAATCATCAGTATCAAGTGATATTATTGTCTGAACAATTGCAAATATAGAAGATAACAAACAATCTCTCATTATCGATGAATAATGACGATTAAAAATGTCATGGAGAAAAGATGTTGTTAATCAGTTCCAAGTTCTGAATGTACTATTGAGAAATAAGTCTTCATGTTTTAGATCATTATCAATGAGTTTTATTCATTGTTCATAATCGGATGAATTGAAATATTCTTATAATTATCATGTTCAAATGTGTATCGCGCGTCATTTCTGAATATTACAGTTCGAATGAATACTTACATTCGAATAAAAATTTTCTTCTCTATTTTAGCAAACGTTGAATGTCAGTTACCATCAACATATAGGGTGTCCTGTAAGTCGTTAGCCAAAGAAAAGATTGAATATCTTCATTATGGTTCGACCAAACGAGGACATTTTTTGACCAAAGATAGAGGCATATCCACACTCCAAATATATATGGACAAGAGTATTGAGAATCTTTGTTAAGCATCACTATTGATCTCAACATGAAAATTTTACTTTTTGGCAGATAGGAAAAAAACAATGTGCTTAACAAAAGTTCTCACTTGCCTTGTCAGCATGGATTTGGAGTATGAACACATCTCTATCCTTGGTAAAGAAATGTGCTGGTTTGGTCGAACCATAATGAAGATATTCAACTTTTTCTTTGGCTAACGACTTACAAGACACCCTATATAAACAATGCCGGACATAAAGTGATTATTGAAGTCAATCTATAAATAGGTGCGCGAGTATGAGTATAAGTATGCATTTCAATCATACAGACGATTCAACATGAATCCACTCTCATACTGATAACCGGTGTACCGCTATTCATAACAACCGGCTTATCATAGATTTGACATATAACCGGCAACCTACATCGTGAACATAGAAGATAGTAAACACGAGATTCTGATCAGAGGTATGATTCTAAACTTGAGATGAATGTACGCTGTAACCGAACAGAAGTTTATGTCGAAGTAAAAAGAGATTTTCCTCTCACAGTACGTTTCACTATAATTGACTGAAAATATGATGATCATTGTTAGAGAATGAAATGAATAGACAAACGAAAGTACGGATAAATGTATCAAACAATATTCTCCCAATGATTGATGCGAATTTTTAAGCTTCGAATCCAAGATAATAGACTCAATAAAAACCAAATTTGGTTTACTGATTTCATTCGACAGAAAGATTGATTTCCTTAGAAAAAATTTTGAATATACCACTCTTCGATATTTCTGGAGTCGATTAAAGGATTCATTAAATTATAGGATAATTGAAAGTCCTCTTGTTTTACTGAAGAGTATTGAAGAAAATTTCAACCTGGAATGGCTTCATGATTTATACAGAAAATCAACTCTGCTCTACGATATCTGATAATAAAGAGAACAAGTGTCTCTTGTAGCTGCTATATCCAAGATGTGTTCGTATTTCAATCATGTCCTTTTTGTTCATTGAAGATTCTTGTTTCCAAGAATCTCACGAAAAACAAGTTGAACGAATTAAATTGCGAACACTCTCAAATCAATCATTTCTTACAGTCTATTAAACAGTGAAGAGTGCTAAACAAAGGATAGATTTGAAACAATTCTGGCATGAATGGACAAAGAATTGCGTTAAAATAGTGTGTCTACCTACGCAAGATCCAACTGTATATGTCTGGTGGCCATTCGATTAACCATAACAGGTTGGTGAATTGTACGATTTTTTCTTGTATAAGAGTTTGTTTCGGGATACTACTGAAAAGTATCTAACCACAATCACTTTATTACTCTGCTTTAAAACGTAATGTTCGTTGTCCAATCGCATGTTCATTTTTACCACGTATTTCAGTCTAGCTTGTTAATGAATCGTTGGTGGCAACTTAGTAACCTTATTCAAACGTAGTATTACCAAAAGTACGCTCGAAAATGTCTGATGTGGCGGGAACATGATGACTAATTTTGGAGAGTAACATTACAGAATCTTCTCGAATTCAAAACCCAGTTGGACTAAGAAGTTCTTCTTCCAAAAGTTGGAGTACTTTTTCCCAATCATGAATGTCAATCTTGGTGAAATCGTTAGTTTGGTGACCTTCACGTAGTTCATTCCTTAACATTTCTAATTGGAACTGAATCTCTTTTAAGTGTCCAGGTGTATGTTCAAGCAGTTTGGCTCTGTTTTTGGCTGCCATCATATTTATTTTAGTAATTGACTATTATTCCCACTCATCAATTTTTTTGGTCAAAACATGCTGCTGAGATTCAGACAATTGTTGACTCAACGTTTGTCGAAGAACATCGTGGGTAACCTCCACTGTTTCAAGATGTTTGTTCAACTATTGGCGATGTTCCATCAAATGCTAATAGCATAGCAGTTTTGAGCATCCTTCACATCTGCCAATGACATATTCCTTCTCTCAGGTCACACAACAAATCATCATTGTTGTCGCTGTTGATCGCTGAGAATTCGAATATTCTATGTGTCAACAAACAGTGATGAAAACAAAACGAACGGAGTGGAAAGAGTATGAGTCGATTGCCATTTGTTAACGGAGAACTCAAGTTGACGACGACCACTTGTTATTGTTGACAAAAATGTTATATTATCCCTATGGGTAATAAGTAAATAGAAATTTCATAAGTGGGGTTCTAGGAAGGTATGAAACCTCATTGACGATGGTCGAAGATGAGTGAATGCAGAGAAAACTCACGCCTGAAGATAAAACCATTGAAAGGAATACGTGTGATGACTCTTATTTTGGCATTTATTTTTGTTTTCATCGATTGAGCAAATTTATGAGCATAAACGTGGTACTGATGACTTCAATTTTTTTACTTGAAAGTATGCATTTCAATCACACAAACAATTTGCATCAAAACCATACCCACACCCTTATCGCCAGTCTTCTTTCTGAAATGTTTATGTAAGTCATTATTTTTAATTATTATGCTTGAAACTTGTTTGAGTATATCTGGCTAATAGCAATCCAGTCATTCTATGATTTCAAACTTTGAAGTCAGCTTCTTTCTTAAGCGATCTGTTTCGTCGATCATCTTGATTTATTTGTGACAGAATACGCTTCAAAATTTCGGTTTGTTTTTATGAAAATAAGACCGGTTAATAAAATATACAGACCAATGTTCAAAATGCAGAGAATCATGAAATAATTATCATGAAACTCAGCAGATCAATTTGAAAGCGTAAATGAAATCGTTTGAAAAAGTGACATATGATTTAATGTATTGAGAAATTATTAAAAATGACTCTAGAATCTACTCATATGACATATTATGTTTTTCATGCCCCTTCATTTTCTTTTTGTTTCTTCTCAATTTTTTGCACTGTGTCTTTTTTTTTGTTGATGTATAGATTATGAAAAGAAACTGTTCTATTTGTAAAAAGAAAAAGAATAATAATTTCACTTCAATGACATTAGTTAAATAAATTGAGTTACTTATTTATTTTATTTGTGAATAGGCTTCAAAATACAAGAACGTTTTAGCAACATGTGTTCAATTTTCTATTGTTTTATTTTACTAATTTTTTTTTTTGCTTTTTGTTTATTTTAAAGTATTCTATGATGAAACCAATGTCTATTAATGACAGGCTGGCATGATGCATCAATTAAACAAAGGACAAATATTTTATATGCTTAGAGATTTTACTGTCTTATTTTAAGTTTACTTTTCAAATAGCAAATAATAGGGTCAAGAAAAAAGATAATATAAAATGAAGTCAACAATGATATTTTTCATGAATACTTTCTATTGACTTTTACGTTCTACATTCTTTGTCAATGTTTTATTGAACAAAAAATTATCGGTTACTATAATCTTTGCTCTTCGGATACATTGTTGTTTTCTGTCTCGATTTCTTTACTTTCTTTAAAGCGTTTCAGAAATGCATCAGATCAAAAGAGGTAATTTTCATAAGCATATATATCAATTCATTAAAACGCTTTCTTTCCTACTATTCTTATATTCTATGCGAAGAAAAAATTTAGCACATATATTTTCTCATTTGTCGTTAATGAAACCTATTTCAATACATTGAGTTTATTGGAAGAACAGTCTTATTTGATAAAAATTTTTTTCTCTAATATTTTCTATTTGAATAGGTAAGATGGATTCACAGCAGAGATTTATTCGATTCTTATTCAATAGCTGTTGACTTTTGGAAATTTTCTACTACCATCTATTGTCTATGATCGAATTTATTTTCGAATACACCCAGTGACGATCATAGTGCTGTGAAATATAAAAAAAAGAGTCCTACGAAGTTTTGTGTTTTTGGTGAGCAAATCTACGAGTAATCATCGATATTTTAGTTGCGAAATTTATGATTTTCATCATCTCAAGAAGTAGATTTTTCTAATGGAGTAAAAGAAAATCTCAAATTTCCTCAAAAATTCACCATTCATTTCTATGACATTTCTTATAATTATAGTATTTATTTGTAAAACGTCTAAGAGATAGTTCTAGTCAAAATTGAATGATTCTCTTCTAAAAATTGCATAAAGTTTCATAAAAAGTGCGGTTTATAAGATCGAAAATGTTTCACTCTTTCTGAACTATGAAATTAACTGTGAATGGGAATAGTATTCCTCAGAATTCGATGATTTTTGCTACAAGTAAAATTACGAACAAAGCTACTTTAGAGTACCGAAGTCTCATCTGATCTGTATTCACCTTTAATATCGATTGAGTAACCGAATTGTGTCTAAAAGAAAACATGTAAATAAACAAAAACGAAATGAGATAAAAACGAACATAAAGAATATTTGAATCACTCGGAAATAATTCATTTTATTAAAAGAAAATCTTTAGGATTTACTTCAGTTGAATCATAATTAATATTGGTCAAGATTTGAGATGATATCCTTGTAACAAAATCATTTTTGTTTCTATCATTGTCAATAATGAATACATCGAAATAATTTATTATTAAACATCAGTTTAGACTGAATAAAGACGTGTTGGTTTTCTTGAAAAGTTTTTCCATTCTATATTTAATTTAGAAAAGAAGAATTTCATATTAAGCGTGATAAGTGATCCGTCGAAAAAAACTTCAACTGATAGAAGAAGAAGGAATCATGAACCAGAGTGAAATGTTCGTCGTTGTTCTATTATTCGTGTATTCTGTTTAAATACATCAACTCATGCATGACCATGTTTTGCTCATAATGAAACCTTACACAATCGTGTATTTTGATTGGTTTCATTCGTGATATTTACTGATATAATGATCTATTTTATAGTTAAATCAATAGTGACTTTTTTGATTATTTAACAATAATCGATGTATCTTATAATGATAATTGCCTACAGTATTTTGCAGCAATTCGCTTTGAGCGATTTATTGAGTCTTTTTTGAATTATACCATATTCATTAAATTTTACAAATACAAACGATACAACAACAATATTTGCATATCACGCGACTGCTATTTGGAAATTTCTCGTTGATAAAATTAATAAAAACGAATCATTAGAAGACTACTCTTTTTCGTTATCATCAACGCGTCATACATGTTTATTCAATTTTAGAAGATTCACACCCATCGTTTTTGGTAAGTAAATATTACCATCGACAGATGAAATTTATTCGGAATACTTCATCTGTTATCAGCTCTAACGTCTTTATTACCCTTACTTTCTTGATAAAATGTTGAAGATATGTTTTGTGATTTGCAAATAGTTTTCAATTAAGTGTCTTTGACGCTGATTGAATGATTTTGGTTTTTGCCGATTGTTGATTAAACATGAAAAGGTCTCAATGGTCCATGTGCCTTCTTCCAACCAGCCCTCAATGGAGAGGATAACATGTGTGTTTATATAGCGATTCTTAAACATTCCACCAGATGGGCTGATAGTTTTGATCAAAATGTAAAATGTGTCCGCATACCCTTCTGCGCTGAAGCTGTCCTATCGTAGCTGTTAGAGTTGGCATGAATGAATAGGCTCATCAATACTTGTTTTATATTGTCCTTTGCAAAACAGTATGACATTTTTGAAAATACCTTATGAATTAAGTAGTACTGTTCCGTATGTAATCTCTAACATGTTTTTTAGCGGGCTGCAGTAGAAGAAACATCGCTTTACTTAAATCAAATGGAAGTCGATCTTGCTTTCCTAAGTTTTCTATTTCATCGATAATAGCATTTTCTAATCAGTAATCAAATTTATTGCTCTATCGCCCATCATTAATTTTTGTTTTAGTCGCGACTCAGACATTTTGATATCTAAAAAACAACACTCTAATCAAAACCCATGTCATGGTCAAATACTTGTTGACTAATAAAAACTAAAGAATAAAATATTTTAAAGTTCCAATGTTACGTATTAATAATATAAAATAGTTAACATTGATACAAGAAAAATGCCAATAAATCAAAAACATTCCAATATAATATTTGTTTAAAAAAGTACTTTGCATTAGTCTACGCAAAATGAACGACACAAAGTTTCAATAGAACCATTGTACAATATCAGTGAAGAAATTTTTATGCCTATTGCTACTATATAATGTTAGTACTAATTTAGCTGAAAATATCAGAATCAATACATGGATGACGTAGTTTTAACAATATAAAATACATGATGTTATAAGTAGTAAATTCCTAAAGATCATAGCAAGCTAAAAAAGTTAACTAAAAGATGCGACCTATTTATGGCACAAATGAAAAAAAGCATATCATATGTCGTACGAAAGATCATGAAAAAACAATATCTAGAGAAAATGAAATTAATGCATAGTTGCAATGAAATTGATTCAGTTATCGAATACAAGCTGATTCAACGTCGAGTTCTTCTTATTGTCCTAAGTGCATCAATCATTGAGTCGGATAAACGCTGTACACTTTCTCTTTCATTCTAGTCATTTGCCTGTGCTGCATAACCCCTCATACTCGCTACATCTACTATATTTGCTGTTACATGGCAAATATCGTTTCTATCTTTATACAGCCTCGTAAGAACATCCCAATATTGAGAGAGTATGCAATTTTTTGCAGCAATCACGTGTATCTGATCATGTACGTGTCGTTTTTTTTGCTTCCATATAGGTATTCCGCAACTGTAACGGTAACCAACATAGTTCGTGACGTCTTTCTATTGTTCAAATCGTGGCACACTATAACCCGGCTCTTCATCTGTGTCTGGTTCATTTATTTTAGTTTCACAATACTGATTCAAATCTCTGATAATAAACTGTTCTCCAAAATATGCCATCGCATTTGCTACTTTTAGAAGAAATTCAGTACGGCGTAGTTGTGCATATTCATTCGTGGAGTCTATAAATGAATACAGCGCGTCTTCTTTCTCAAACGCATCTGAATTCTTAATTAGAGAGTAAAATTTGTATTGTCGCCTGATAGTGGGCCATATATATCCACTAAAGTCTTTTGTTTCCTCTTGCTTGGTACAGCATGTATAGCGTAGAATCTTTTTCTCGCATGTTGCAGCCATTTATATAATCTGAAAAATTAAATATTTCCCGCAATTACAATTGAATAGCTTTTTCAAAGTTAAGTACCATAACTATCTTTTGAATAGTTTCGATCGATTAACATCACCGAGCTCAGACTTTTACCAATGACAAGAGCCAACTTCAATATGTTCATTTGTGCAACATGTATTAAATTCAAAGACGCTTTTGCGCAACTGTTTTTTTGGATATGAATATATTTTTCCTTGTCTATTTTGATCAACTTTCGTAATAACCTAACTTGAAAGTACACTAAACTATCACCTAAATCATTTTGTATATGTGGTAAGATCAAGGGGGAAACATCGTACTTTTGTACTTTAACTACTTTGATGTACTTTAATGTACTTTGAGGTACTTTGAAGTACTTTGAAGTACTTTGAAGTACTTTGAGGTACTTTGAGGTACTTTGAAGTACTTTGAGGTACTTTGAAGTACTTTGAAGTACTTTGAAGTACTTTGAGGTACTTTGAAGTACTTTGAAGTACTCTGAGATACTTTGAAGTACTTGCAAATAAGTTGTTGAGAAATGTAGTTTTCCCAAATTTTTTCGGCTTTTTCGCATGTATGAGAAGAATGCACTGGCTTCGCAGAAATAAGTTGATTTGAGAGTCATTTTTTAATTGAAAATCTGAGAAAAATTCCGTAATATAGAATTTCAAAAATAGCTAAAAGGAGTGGCTGTTTTTTATACGACTGTAAATATCTTTTCCATTTATTGTGTAGAGAATTTTTAAAGATTGTCTCCTAATTTTGGATTATAAATTGAACAAGAAAAAAAATTGTTTTTTGGTATTACTCAAAAATTTGAAGATCTACAGTAGTATTTTGAACGGCGTGCTCATATAATAATAGGAAAAAATCCGTCTTTTAACACCTACAATACGAATTAAATAAAAAATCATAACCACTATTATTAANTTAGTCCCTTAGTCCCTTTAGTCCCTTATTTCAATTTGAAATCAAGTGTTTTTTTTTCTGTTTAAATTCAGATTGAAATTAAATAACCCATAGTATGCAACAATGATAGTAAATTTTAACGTTTAAACTTTGATCTTTTTGTAATCCATCGTAATCTTGTTTCTCTTTTTCCTAGACGTTTTCAATCGAAGATCTGCATCAACAAGTACGGAAATATGAAGCGTACGTTTCTTCGGTACTAATTGTCGAAGTTCAGATATTAATTCTTTAATCTGATACGTTGCAGTTCGCCCACCTTTAGCCTTTGGTGTAAATGGAACATTTAATAATTCTGGTTTGACTTGATTTATTATTCCACGTAAGAACTCGTAATCATCATGATTTTCTAAGTATAAAAGTTTTCCATAGCGACACAGTTTAACCAATTCACTGTGGTCGAAGATAGTTGCTCCGATGTCAGTCATTACATTGAGTAACTGGGAACTGCATTCCAACGATTTTGTTGCAATGATTATACGTTCTTGTGAATCTAAATGAATTTGTCGAATGTCTTTCAATTTAACCGCTTGCATAACCTCTGGTGAATGAGTGATAATTACCATTTGACAGAAGGAATTCAATTCACGAAATTTCTCTAGTTTACGATCAAAGAAATTGATTAATAACTTCTGCGCAGAGGCAAATACATGAGCATCTAGTTCATCAATTAATATAATTGTATTCCGCTTTATACAACATATTGTGGTAATAATGTATAAACATTGTAATACACGCTCACCAGCAGAAGTGACATCACCAAACGTTGTTGACTCATAAAGTTTATTTAGTGAACTTTCCGATGAGTAGCTCGATAAGTACTTTGGAGGGTTGGATACACTCCGCCATGCACTTACCCTTAGCGTATAAGGATTTTCTGTTTGATGTTTCTGATCGTTTTGAGCTTGTTCCTCCTTGTTTTCTACTTGGTCACTGTGCGAATCCTCCGTCTTAGTAAGTTCAATAAACGGAAATATATGCTGAATTTCTTTGGACAATTCTTCTTGATGTTCATCAATGTCTGAGTATTGTTCGTACAAGCTTTTAAAATTACCATTCGCTACAGTTTTGCTATTGAATAATAATGCCGTTGGAAACAAATTTCCAAGTATGCCATAATGATCTTGATAAAGAGAAATATGTTTAGTTGTTTGTGGACATTCGTCCTCAGTTGTCTCCACTGGCTCAAAAGTCGTATTTTCACTCGGTACCAGAATTCGAATATGAACGCGTGGTGTTTTAGACTCTTCATCGTCTTCGATGTCATTGGATGGTGTATTGTCGCACTCAATTTTTATCGACACATTTAATCTTAAACTTAAATTTTTCATAGTTTTGGTTTCAATTCTGTAGGGAACATCAAAAACACCTTGTAACCATATATCATCCAGACGGTGAGTTAGTCGTGTGAAGTTAATTCCAAGTAGCGACTCTGTATCTTCTAATGAACAACATTTGCTTCCATACTTAACAGCGGTAAAAAAGATTCGTAATATTTCCAGAAGCGTTGTTTTCCCTGAGCTATTTGAACCAACTAATGTCGTTAATGGTCGAGCGAGATCAAAAATATATCCTTCTTTTTCTAATGATTGAAAATGTTTATATTTGAAAAAATGAATTTGCTTTAATTCCATTCCAATTGGCTGTATTATCGTACCGTCTGATAACTGTATTTGTTTAAAATGACTTCAATTTTCGAACGACATATTGGTCTATGTATCACCAAATACAAAAAATATTAAATTATTATTGTTACATTAGCTTAACAACAAGTGTTCTAGAACCTATGTTGTATTGTTCTCCGAGACTTTTATTTTCAGTATGAAAATCACAAAAAGTTGGACTTCTTCAGTCTCCTCTTGCGTTTAAACTCTCATTTACAGATGTATAAAACGCAAATCCAATGAGAAGTTGATTTCTAGATATGAATAGTTGAAACCTCATTCCTATATGCGTAGGCTAAGTGGAATGCAAACATTTTAAAAACTAATGCAGAGTAAAAAAGAATTGCGTTTCACATGTTCAAAAGTTCTTCTGTGTAGTCTTACAAAACAGAAGCTTTTTATAAATTAATTTATATGTAATCGTTATGGAGGTTGTTATAACTATCCTCAGTTCATATTAAATCTACTAGAATAAAATTAATACAACGACAAAAAAACTAGGCATTTAAAATCAATAGCTAGTTGAATAATTTACCATGATTACATACGAACGAAAAAGATTTCATTATATGAGTTATATTTAAATCTTGGTTGTTTTAATTGATTTTTTAGATGAAAAAAATTGGTCCATCATTACTACTATTAATTGTTCTTTCGTTTATAAATAACCCAACAAAAAAATGAAAAGAATTTTAACAGATCTATTAGTTGTATATGCTCTTTTTACAATATTATTTTTTGTTAAGAAATCTTACCTGTTTTTCTGTTGTTGAATTGCTGCCAGCCATAAGTCCTCCGTGAATAGTGTTTTAGTGAAGACTACGCTCTTAGATACAAACAGAAGTATATATAAAAACTACGTTTACTTCTTCAAAGAATAAAGAGCAAAAAATGTTTTGGCATAGTTTGCGTCCACTATTTTATTCTACTATAGTGGAAGTCGTCACATCATTATTAACCAATCATATTACAGATTCATTTGTCATCAGTTGCACAGAATAAAGCGTAATTTTCCCTGTTTCGGAAAAGAAATGATTTTTTTTCTTTTCTATTTGCACGAGTTAAAGAAGAATATTTTCTGTCGGTATGAAAGACTGAGAACGAGGAACGCAAAAATATTATTGAGAATAATATGCGTTGCAAAAATCTTGGCAAACATGCTAACGCTTTTCTCTGAGCTAAAACAGAGGGAAAAAGTTAAGCGGTGGGTGTGGGTGTGGGTGTGAGTGTGGTTTGGGTGTGGGTGATAGAATTGTTCACATCCACACCCACACCCACACCCTTTTCGACTTGATCGATTGCTGAAAAGCAAGAGTTGAGACTAGCAGTTTGATTTGTATCTGAGAGATATAGATCGCCTTGTTTTTCGAGTGAAAACAGATTTTGTCACCATTTTTTAGATAGAATTCAAATATCAAACAGAAATTACGGTTCGGAAGAACTGGTTTATTTACACGAGAAAACTAAAAAAACAAACGAACGATCCCTTACTTTATATATACTATCGAAATGTAATATGCTAGAACATGAAGTCAAAAAATGTCACACGTAAGAGAAATCAAAAATGTGGAAAGTTCCAGAATATACTTAAACATTAGATTCGAGCTAGTCGAGTATTCGCATAGTCATTATATTATAGACTTTATGTTAAAAAATGCTAGAATTAAATCCAAGATAGAGTTGTTATATGCATTATTATAGACGAGACATTTTTATATGTATTCATGCAATAAAGCTTTCGATACTAAGTGTTTTATAAAATTTAAAATGCCGTGGCCAGAAGTTTTTGTCAGCCCTAAGTAAAAAGCTTGGGCCATTCTGCATTGACAAGATGTATATGAAGATTTTCCATTTTCATTAAATCATCATCATTCTTCATGAACTAATGATATTAATATAATTTTTTTTTCTGTCATTTTTTTCTTAGTCTGAAGCTTTTTTATCTTATTGCATTTCATATTCAAAGGTTTTTTTAATTAAACAGGTAAATATATTTTCTTTTTGTAGACAATTTATCAGACTCTTAGAACCCAATCGTATACATATTTGCGAAAACGTGCTTCTTTACAATAAAAGCAGTTCTTGTACTGTCAGATCTTAGAAGAACTGAAATATCGTGATTACGTGAGCTAATAGAATCATTCCTCGGCAAGCTGTTCTTGGCATATTGTTTTGAATTGAACAAATGGTTCAGTTCTGTACAGAAATTTTCTTGATTTTCCTTTCCCAATGTTTTTGCTTCCATTTTCTTCCGATTTCGAGGCAATAACCACAGCGCATCACAAAATGTTTCTGGAAGTACGAGCACAAGATAGTGCAACGCAAGAGTCACAGCGTATCGCCTCTATCGGTACCAAAAGAACTGCGTTGCTCTAGTTGCTTATAATCACTTTTCTTTTTATTCGTTTTTTAATGTCTTACACATCTTATCGGACCGTAGGGATGTAGGTAATAGTTGTCTTTCTTCAACGTCAGCCTCTTATCGTGATTTTGTGAATCAGCATTTTGACTCCTCCGAGAATTAAAGTCACCAGCAAGGAGATAAGAAAAAACAACATGAAGTAGTAGGCGACAGGTGATAATAAAATTTTTGTATACTCTTAACTTTTCTTATATATATTATTTAAGAGCAGTGTGCTGATATTGTCAATATTCGCGCTTTTGAGTTAAAATTGCTTATCATATATTTAAGCTATTCTTGCTTTTGTACGAACATTCACATTTTGTAAAAGAATGTTAGAGAGATATTGTAACACAGGGAGCCTGCAACTTTCTCCATAGAGGACCTTCTTTATTTCGATTTTTTCCTCTGAAATTCATCGTTGTCTTAAATATTAAGATCACTATGAAGGAAAGAACAGAAGTTTCACAGTGATAGACTCTACAAGATCTGAGAAAGCCTTCTTTACCAACTTTCCTTTCTTGCTTCAAGTAAAGACTTATGAGAAACTGTTCATCATGTTTTGCTTTTTTGTTACCTTTGGTAATCTAATGCCACTAGCATATTCCTTCAATATCAGACTACAATCAACCATTTTATAAATATAAAATGAATACTGAGATATCATTCGATAAAATCTTCCTCTTAGATTTGTTTGTCTTTGTTCCAGATAAAGTACCGTCATTGGCTATCTTACTGTTCTCATTCTTCGATAATTGTGGGTAAATGTTTCTTCGATCGACTAAATCGTTTATCCCAAGTCAAAAAAAGTGTGCTTCACCTTAAACTCCAAATTTCGAGCTCTCTTACACATCCTCATTTAGCCAACCGTTTCAAGCTCCTGATCTTCCAAAGGTGAATATAGGTCGGCAGCACTATATATTGCCTAACCATTGTCAGCCCCAGAATTAAATGTCGGTTAGTGTTACACGAATATCTCTAGAACGTCAATAGCTTTCGATGTGCGGTCTTCTCCAATCGAAAAGATTGAGTTGGAACAGTTTGATTTAATATTATGCAAGGTGGAATCATTACCTAACGAGTCGGTTTGAAAATCCCTCCAAAAATCATATAATAATGCAAAGTAGATCGAATGAAATTTTCATTCCGATATGCGCATTACATAGAGAGGCTCCATCTCTATAGTTCAAGATAAAATGCGCATGATTATCTTCTCAGAGTCTAACGTTGACCAAATGCATTCGACCGCTTGCATGCTGAAATAATAGGAAAGGAGCGTTGGCTTTGAACCAAGTTTTTCTACATTTCATTAAAATCACTTGTTGTTCCGATAAAATTTGACAAAAAGCTAGAAAATGAATGACTGAATTCATTTGCACAACGTTAGATTGTCAGAAGATAACCATACGAATTTTATCTTGAACTATAAAGATGAAGGCCCTCTTTGTAATATAACTTACATTTTTCGGAAAAGATTCCCAGTAAAGATCGGTTAGGCGACGGTTTCACCGTGCATAATATTCTATCACAACATACTCTGACTTAGCCTCTTGCGATTTATAAAATCACAGATCCCTACCCATTGCTGTTCTCGAGATATTCGTCTTACACCAACCCATATTTAATTCCGTAGTCAGCAATACTTAATTAACTGGTGCTTAGATGATCAGTACTCACTCTTACTAATTAGTTCCCTGTGAGATAAAATTCAACAAATTACTACAAGCATAAGAAATTTGGGCATAATTATATCTATTATTCATAGGACCCAAAGGTCCTCAAGAGCTATCAACGGTTCGTATCGTTAACTTTTCAAGTACAGCCTTGGGATATTTCTGGTTACTCTTGAAGTGCTATCGAGATGAGAGGTGTTGGGGTGCCTCCCACTATTCGACAGATATCTACTATTGGTCGATATAAATCTTCAAGAGGTTTTGAGCATAGCCCGCAAAACTGTTATGAGAATTTCATAACTCCATCACGCACTAACTACTGTTGAATGTGGCACGACATACTGCGTCAGGGGGCGGGAGGATGAATGTAACAGGCGGGCACTCCAATTTTCCTTAAGTCGTTAAGAGCGGCCCGTTTTTCTTAGCTCAACGTGACTGACTCACGCGATGGAGTACTTTTGTGGCACAATAAATATTATATCAAGGTACCGTGTGAGAATTGCTGCTCAACAGTCGACTTAGATGCAGTGCCAGTCAAAAGTGTCCGCTGTCAGAGGTTTCGTAGTTCTTGAGCTACTGTGGGCTAAAACTCTGAAGAAATCTCTGTCTTGGTATACTATCATAGTTGTCATTAGAGACAGTACGAACACCTTTAAAATTCATACAAAGGCAATGAAATGAACTTTGGATTGAGAAACTTCTATCATAGTATCAGATTCGGTACGAAGGAGATTGGAGTGGCTTAAGCGACTGTTAGCTGACTTTCTGCTGAGAGAACATTGTTCAAAAGCTAATCACTCGAGCCGTTTCCGCCTCCCTATTTAACCCTATTCCTCTGACTACGCATTGTGAGAATAACTTGCCAGTAAAAAAGGGATTCACATAGAAATGCAAAGCTGTCACTTTCGAATAATAATGAAAGCATTATTCTATCTTAGGCATACTTCCACTACATTTCATTTCTGAATATTCGTCCGATTCGATTTAGCAAATACCAGAATTCAATACGCTTGCTACAAGGAAGCTAATATCTTAAGGAATGGAATATGTTAAACATTTTACTAACAGGCAATCTAATGATAATGATGTCCGGGCAGCTTTACTTACTCGGTTGGAAGAGTTACGTCGACAGTCTCCTGAATACTTTTCAAAACCAATCAATATCCTAGATACTGTTGATGATACTATTGAAGGCCAATTGGAACGACGGCTACAACAGGAAAAGACTTCCTGTGCAGGAAAGCGCATTACACTTATCCCATACAATGTCGGAAATTCACATTGGGTTGGACTTTTATTAGAATTCAAAACAGATGGACAAATTAAACGGGCCGAATATATTGATCCGGTTAATGGCCCTAATGTTATTCCAGTCAGAGTGCAAAATCAATTCGTTAGGGTGTACGCAGACGATGTTTTACAGACAAGGAACTTGCGAAAGCAAGATGGCCCAAGAAATAGTGCAGAGTTAATGATTGAAAACTTATTAAAGGCAGCTGGAAATGATTCACTTCCACGTGAAGCAGGTAATAGATTGACACTTTCTGAACTACAACAAGCATTGAACAGCGGTTTGGCAAAATGGGAAATTCAGGATGTGACTAAATTGCCGGAAAAAATACAGGAAACAGAACAACGAATTGAAGACTATCAAAGAAGGAAAAAAAATGAAAAGGCAGAGAGAGAAAAAGCAAAGATGAAGGAAATGAGTGAGTTAGTAGAATTGTCGAAAAAGATCGGTATTCTCCTAAATTCTGTTAACGATGACGAATTAAAACTTTACTACATGGAGCAGAGATTATTTAGTGGCTTGGCAAAGTGGAAAATTCAGGATGTGACTAAGTTGCCAGAAAAAATACAGGAAACAGAACAACGAATTGAAGACTATCAAAGGAGGAAAAGAAATGAAAAGGCAGAGAGAGAAAAAACAGAATTGAGGGAATTGATAGAGCTAGTACAACTTACAGAAAATATTAGCAGTTTCCAAAGCATAATCATAAACAAGGAAAGAAAAATAGACGAGGATCTCAAGGTCCTAAGTGAAGATTTGGCGATCATGCCCACTTGTGCTGAAAAGACGATCATGCAGCTTCAAGAGCATTTTCAACGGAGACTACTGAAAGATCGTGTTCCTTCATTAACTAAAGACTCACCGAATGATTTGTTAAACCGACTCCATAGCCAGATCAAAAGGCAAGAGTTGATTTCGGCAGAAATCATGACAAATCTTCAAGAGTTAAATACATCTGTACGAAGAGATGATTGTTTCTCTACAGTGCATGTATTGAAAGAACTTTCAAAGAAAATCTGGCCTTTAAATCTCCAAGAGATACAAAGGCTCGTGGCTAAAGCGAAAGAGGCAGCTGAACTAATGCGAGACAAAGATATCATTCTTTTAGTTGGTGCGACTGGAAGCGGAAAATCTACTACAATTCAATTTCTTGCAGGTACTAAAATGAAAAAAACTAAGGTAGAAGTTGCTCCCGGGAAATATTTGGAACATATTGAACCTGTTGGCCCAATTAAGAATTCCAGGTTGAGTAACGTGACAAGTAGTCCGCTAAGCAATTCAGAGACTCGCTATATTGTACCCGTTATAGTGCCATTGAAAGATATTTTTGGTCTTTATGAGACTGGATATATTATATTATGTGATGCACCTGGTTTTTGTGGCACGGTGAGCGCAGAAGTAGATATTGCAAATGGTGTAGGAGTTATTGAAGCTCTTAAGGGATGCTCGAGTGTCAAACTACTTGCTCTATCAAGTTATCAAGGCTTAGATGGCAGAGGCCAAGACATTCAGAAACTGGCCCACCTGTTGATCAGTATAGTAAATGGAATAGAATACCGATTAAACACGATTTTTTACGCATTTACAAAATATCCTCAGACAACGAATATTAATGCACTGTTATTAGACATCAAAGCTTCGAAAGTAGATACAAATGCTTTGCTAAAATCAGATAGTGCCTTTGTGACACTACTGGAAGATATGATAGAGAAAACTAAGAACAGTGCTGAAACAATAGATCCTGTTCATGGCGATCCAAAACAGTTGATTGAGAAATTGAAGCTTGTACATGGTATTCAATATCCCGGAGAAATTTTTCGATTTTCAATGAGTGAAGAAACACACACTGCTATTGCAAACCAAGTACAAAGATATAAATTGAGTATCATGTGTGCAATGAAATACAAAGACAATGATCTTGTGATACATTATTTGAATGATTTAAAGACATTCAAGGACTTATTAAAGCAAAGTTTTGTTCGAGATGCTTATGAAGATTCTGTACACTTTGTAAAAGAGAGTATTGCGAAGAGTTATGCAGAAATAATGCAAAAATTTAATCGCTCTTTTGCTAGTCAAGATATATTGAGAGAGGAAGACATTCGTGATTACATAGTCTTTATTGACTATATTGAAGATACCCAAAAACTGAGCGAACATTTAGGATCAGACGTAATGTCACCAACGGCACTGATGCAAAATATAGATTCTGAATTGCAGAAAAGAAGTCATACGCTCATAACAGAAGATTTACGCACTCCTTTGGTAAAAGCCTTCCTAGATAATTTTTGCTTGCTCAAAAACTCGTTAAAGTTACTTGAATCAAATTATAATGTAACTTGTAAGAACTTTTCAGAGAGTTTCGAAAGACTAGTGCAATCGGCGCGGGAACGCATTATAGCCAATGAATTCGAACATGTTGCTGGAATCATTCTCATAATATCAGAATCTTCACAAGCTTTAAAAAGTCATTTGGGTGGACAAATCGAACAAAAGTATCGAGAAACTATCAAATTGTTCGTACAACACTTAAGTAGTTTCGCTGACAAAGCAGATCCTCTTTTGGCAAAACCTCATTTGAGTGATAGTGATGTGACAAAGTTGAGAAATTACATGGAAATACTAAGATCAGCTAAAGAAAATAGTGCACTTCAAGATCGTATTTCTACCTATGTGGAAATGTTGAAAAACAAAACCGATATATCCGAAGAAAATTTTCAAGATTTGAATGAAATTTACAATAAATTCATTGCAAAAATTGTCATGTACTTTGATCACATTAGCATTAAAATCCAAGAGCTTTTTAAAGAAAATGAAGATCATGCTTTAGAAAATATAGAAGAAATGGTCGCAGAAATGGAAGCTATTCGTACAATACCGGAACTTGAGTCAAAGACAGCTGGAGCATATTATCGTACAGTTGAAAATATTCGTAGATACATGCAACAGTTGCAGAAAGAGGCACAGAAGTTTCTTGCCGCTGTTGATAGTCAGTCAGAAAACACCAATTATAGATATCTTGCGAAATCATTGTCACGTTTGAAAAATGTTAAATGGATTGATCGCATTACTCCAGGAGCACATGATCTTCTGATGCGCCGTATTGGCGAAGAGTTGATGCAATATGCTGATCAGTTGAAAGATCGTTTGATGAAACTGGATTTAAGCTTGAAATGTCATGAGAATGTTACTGTAGCAGAAGAGATCCTTGAGAAAATTGAATCTTTAAGCATCTTGGAAAGTAGCATTCCAGATCTTGAAAAGTCTAGACTTCGCCTGTTCAAATACTTTCTCAAATCTACAGAAGGTGCATTCGATTGTATACAAAGAACGTTCAGTCTACAAGATAGTACTGTATATCAAATAAAACAAGAACTGAAAGAACTTGAACAAATCAAACGTGACTATGAAAATTTGCATCCAGCCCATGTATATTTACGAAAACAAGAACCTTCAGATATAGATTCATTGAATCGTGAGATTGAATCTTTAAAAAACAAGCAAAAGACAGAGCTGGTGAATCAGATTAGACCTGCAGGATTCAGTCATTCTTTAAATCAACTTGAAACGATACAGAAAAAACATGATTCATTATTAGCTCCACGTATATCGGTTTCGTCAGAAGAAATCAATTTTCTTAAAAAAAAAGGATTTAATAGTTTTGAATCCCTTTATGCCAATATTCAAGAGAAGAAGAGAATTATTGCTGAACGTGAGAAGAATAAGCAGCCGTATAATTTTAGTGGTAGGCTCGATGCTTCAATAGCAAATAGTGCTCTATTGTACGTAAGTCAATGCGAAAAAGGATGCCACATTCGTGTAAAAGAAATCGCAGTTGACACAAACGAAATCTTGAAAAAGTACATTAGCGAATATGGTAATTTTCTGAATCAGGAAATAACCAGAAACTTTAAGACTATCCTTAGTATTGACTCTAGAGAAGACTATTCGGAATTTTCTAACGATTTAGAAAAGCGACTACGAGAATTATCTTCTCTAAGCAGATTTACTAACGTTTTTGATTGCATAGATGGAGTTGAGAAACAAGAAAATTGGTATCGAATATTTCTTGATTGTCACCAGAGTCTGAGCGATAAAATGGAAGAATTTAAGATGTCCGGCAATAACAAGGAATTACAAGCCCGATTAAACATTGCGCAAGCATTGAGCTGCGTAGATAGTTTCTGTGCCAGTGTATTTGCAGGCAATGGATTTCGAGCCCTGCAAAGACAGTATCAGGTCGAAGTAAACATGCAATGTAAAGCAGCTTATATGGCTGTACTAGACCAAATTTCGAAGGGAGATTATGAAAGTGCAACTATATCACTATTTGATATTGATGATAGACCGTTAAATGAGAGAGATCTAGCTCAAATTAAACATGACCTACAGAGTTCTTTATACAAGCTGATGACGGATACAAAAAGTATTGCACATTCGCTCTATGACAAAATCGAAAGAGACGAAGATAATAGGAGCCAAATACAAGAAATCAAAGAAAAACTTGAGAAAATTCAAATCGCTTTGAATAAAAACAATATTATGGAGTTGCTTGATAAAAAAATCAAAGTCCAACTTGAGACATTTATTGATGATATCGATAAAATTTTATCGGATATTATAATGCGAGAACTTAATGCTATTGAAGCTCTTATAAATACTGATAGTTTTTCGGAAGCGGAGCAAGGTATGAAAAATCTCGGTCTTGTACAGCGTGAATTAGCAGCCTATTGTACATCGACTGCTGTGACTGAAAAAAGTCAGATGCTCAGAGAAAGATTGGATGGTATAGTCAATGAGATCTTGCAACGTGATTTTGAAGACATTAGTAAATATTCCATGAATTCACCAAAAGATCTTATCGCAAAATTAAAGATGGTTGCATTACGTGGTAATGCTAGATTTAATCAAGCTTGCAATATAATGTTGGGTAAAATTAGGCAAAATTTCAGTGCAGCTGTAGATCAAGTGCGTGCTGCATCGTTGGAGGAACGTGCCAGTAAAGTACGTTCGTTAAATTATGCATTGTGCTTCTTACCGGATGAGTTACAAGCTTCATTCAAAGTGCAGATCGATGAACTGAGCAAATTAGTAATCGATGAAGAGAAAGCATTGAGACGTGACTTGGACGAAGCTCTAAAAAGTGTAGACGATGATGATCATGCCATTAGAAAACTAGGCACGCTTGCTCAGCGTTATAGTAAGCAAAATGCGAATGAACTTTTTGAAACATTACGGACAGAAACTTTAAAAAAGTTGTATATCTATCAAGAAAATGTAGTGAGTGCATTAGATCGGCAGGATATGCAGTCTGCTATCAATATCGCGAAGAAAATCTTAAAATATAAAGAATCCATAGGTTCTCATGTTTCAGAGATAGAAGCAGTTAATAAAAACGTTCGTGATCTGATAATTAAAAACTTTTTAAATTGTTGTGGCACGCTTGTCAACATATCCACAATTGAACAAACACATATTGTTGAAGAAGCCTTTCACAATATGATCATTTGCATCAGTTTTTCGACTATGTTTCATGAAAAAACCGAGCAGTTTTTTCCTGAACATGTATTAGAAAAGGGTAGTGACTCATTTAAAAAAATGCACGAATATTTGTATCAAAATTCTGAGAAATATCATACAGCTATCAAGGAAATGCATATTGATGAATTGCATAAAATTTTGATAATAGCTAAGCGATGGGATGCCCTTCTGCAGAAGATTAAACAGTGCCATTTAAAACATGAGTCAATTCAAGTCTTGATAAAAGAAATAGCGAATGTGATCCCATACACAAATATAACTACTGAGCTGCAGAAAGAGATTAGCTATTTAAAGGATCAATTAGATGTTGAACTTATCAATTACGACACAACACAGTTCGAAAAAAAGCGTGAAGAATTTTTCAGCAATCTTATGAAATTAATCAGTACATTAAAGGAGATCGATTCCAAATTAAAAGATATTTTACCTTTTAAAGTGGATGTTGATAAGTTAGAGGAAGAGCTGAAAAAGAAAATTCAAAAACTTGGTGCTCACCTACTTGCGATCGCATCCAAAGGCGAGTTGTCCATACGAGACTCCGATCAGTTTCGTATGTTTTACAACCATCTAGCATCACTGAATAAATATGCAGCTAGGATAGGGTTTGATGCTCGACAATTTTTAGACGCATCAGAGGAAAAAATTTTTGATCAAGTAATGTTCTTGAGTCAAGAGATTAGATCTTCGAGTTCGGATGTTTCAAAGGTCGCTAAATTGTTAACTAAAATGAAATTTTTTGCTGAAAATCTATCGATGTTCGATAGCAAAATCAACGAGGAGATCGACGAGGCGCTTAAAATTTATAAACAAAAAGAAGGTCCGCTGATACTTATGCAATTGACTATGATATTAGAAAAAACAGATATCGGTGCGCGATTAATATCCGAACATTCTTCTTTAAGTGGAGAGGATTGGCGAAGGCGACGTGAAAAAATGCAAAATCAGGATAATCTGGAGTATGTCCTGAAAGAATTAGCTGGCGATGATATTGCAACAGACGTTTTAGCCACATGTTATCAGATTTTTAGGGCAACGTATGACGATTTAATATCTCGAATTTTAGGAGTATTTGATCAGAATAAAGATAACGAGCCTGATTTAGAAGCATTGATCACTCAAACTAAAGCTCTTGTGGCAACAGTAACTCAAAAACCTAATACTATTATTTGGGATCACTCCTTCAGAGATAAAATTCCTGAGTTATTGGCGTATATTTTTGCTGTATGGACTTTGAAAAATACGCAACACTATAATGCATTACGTGGCATTGAGTCCGCACGCGCCTATTTGCTAATGCCTCATGTTGCACAAGTTCTTGCTATTTTCCGTATTCTTGGTATTGGCTACAAAAAATACGCGAAAATTAAAGAATCTAAAAAATCTTTAACAGGGAAAATCTCTGATGATTTGATTAACAATCTAGTAGAGATACGAACAGGTGAAGGTAAATCAGTTGTGATGGCAGTAACAGCGTGTGTTTTCGCTCTTATTGGAGTAGATGTCAATTGTTCATGTTATAGTGAAGTACTAAGTGCACGAGATAAGAATGATTTTGCTTCAGTTTTCCGTGCTCTCGGAGTAGAAGAACGTATTGAATATGGTACTTTTAATAAATTGTGCGAAAATCTATTGAATGAGCGATGCAATGTGCGGGAGAAAGTGTGCGATATGATTGTCAATAATAAAAGTGCCATATCCATAGTTGGAACCATCGCATACTTGCGTCACAAAGTATTGCTGATTGATGAAGTAGACGTTTTCTTGAGCGACAAATTCTATGGTGGTATGTATACACCTTCTGTGTATTTGAGAGATCCCTCCATTAAGAATTTGTTGGATTCCATTTGGCAAAACAAGACAGTACGAAATTTAGGTAGTATTAAAGCCACATCGGCATATCAGACTTGTGCCACTCGATTTAGCAACTGGACCTTTCTTCTCGACGAAGCAATAAAAGACATGATATCAGCATTACAATCGTTTCAGTCCTCGACTCATATTGTTCAGAATGATAAAATTGTTTATGTCGAAGGCGAATCGATAGTTGACAATGTAGTCCGAGGTTACGATACAGTTTGGACTTACTATCAGGAAAATGAAAATGGTAATATTAGCCAGAGTAGCTTAGAAGCTAATGTTGGTATTTTAGTAAATTGTGGAACATTTTCATATGCTGAAATGCCGCATGAATTTGCCTATATAACCGGTGTAACTGGCACTTTGAGGACACTTGTCAGGACAGAAACAGATATACTAAAATATGTGTACAATGTGCAAAAAAACACATTTATGCCATCTGTATTCGGAAGAAGCAACCGTATCTATAATCCTAACAATGATGTACAAGTCATGAGCGAGTCTGAATATTTCATGAGAATTCGTGGAGAGATTGATGGTGTTTGTAATGCCGATCGTGCAATTCTCATATTTTTTGAATCGGAAGAAAAATTAATGAAATTTTACGAGTCTTCGGAGTTGTTATCTAAAAAAAATGACGTCCAAATTATAACTGAGACAGTTTCTGTAAAAGAAAGAGAGTTGTATATTAAACGTGCAGCGATGATTGGTAGAATTACACTATTGACTCGAACGTTCGGACGAGGTACTGATTTTATCTGCCGTAATCAACAACTCTTACTTAATGGAGGCATGCATGTACTTCAAACATTTTTCTCGGAAGAATTATCTGAAGAATATCAAATTATAGGAAGAGGCGCACGACAAGGAGATTATGGTTCATACAGAATGATTTTGCTAGATAAAGATTTAGAATGGGTTCTTGGTTCTACTTGGAAGGAAGAGCTACCAAAAATATCAGGCACTACTCTTTATATGACTTTGAACGAGGCTCGCAATGCACTTTATGAAAGTAAGTGTGCTGCGAAAGAACTTGGTATAGAGCAATGCAAGCATGAACATAAAGCTTCTAAAGAGTTCATGACTGCATTATCCGAAGGAAACATAAAGACTGTAAAGAAGTTTTTGTTGGAACAAAATCGTGGAGCAAGTTTAGTTACAAAAACTTCACGTACGGTTTTGTTGATGGATGCAACAGGCTCTATGTCGAATTTGTTATCTGCTGCTAAAGAAACGGTTTGTACAATGTTTGAGCGAGCTTCTGATATTTTAAAAGAACAAATGCTTCCTAGCGATGCATTTCAGATGCAAATTGCCATATATCGAAACTATAATTCTAAAGAGAATAAGATTTTGCAAGCTTCTTCTTGGGAGACAAAAGCTAGTCATTTAAGAGCATTCATGAATACAATCAGCTCTGAAGGTGGTTGGGGACATGAAGCCATTGAAATAGGTTTATGGCATGCAGTTAAAGAAAGCGAAATGCAAAACTCAATCTCACAAGTAATTTTAATAGGAGATGCTCCAGCAAATACACAAAAAGAGATCAGTCAAAAAAGAGGAAGTTTTGGTGAAGTATATTGGGAAAAGACCAGATTTAGTAAGCCAACATATTATCAGTATGAATTAGAAAAGTTAAAAGAAAAAAACATTCCTGTGCACGCGTTCTATCTTACTGGTTATGCAACAGATGATTTCCAAAAAATTGCGAGACAGACGCAAGGACGCTGTGAACATCTAGATATTCACTCTTCTGATGGTGCTGAATCCCTGACCGACTTTGTAACAGAAGAAATTCTAAGAAGTGCAGCTGGTGATCAAGGAGATGATGCAGTAGAACTATATAGAACGAAATATGTGAGGAAAACTTATATGTTTTGAAGATAATTCGTTAAACTTTGATCTAAACAGAGTTTGTTTGACTTATTGGCCTCTTCTCGTTCTACTCTCTTGATCTTTCCTATTCACTTGATGATGCATCTTGCAAGTGTGAAACTTATTCCCTACGAACTTAAAAATTGTGATCTCACACAACTATCCACACTTCTACTATCGTTTTCTGTTTTTTGTTATTTCTGTACTATGCCAAAACTACTATATCTTATGAAAGTGATATGTCGGTTCGTTGTTTCCTCTTTTGTTACAATTGTTTTAACAAGTGGATTTCTCTTATTGATATTGTTGTTCCTATTTTTTGTTCGTATTTCTTTTACTTACATAAAATTTTTCTTAACAATTTTCTTTTCATTGGCTAATGTTCGAGAACATTCAAATGTATTGTGCTTCATGCTTTCCGTGTAACTTTTGGGCGTCGATGTAGAGTGCGGGTGTGACAGTGTTGTAACCAGTAATGGTAAACGACTGGTTCGATCTGGTCCAGTCCGATCTAGATTTCTTTTTTGAACTTTTCATGGCTTTTTTTCAAAGCAATAGGTCAAAGAAACACTTCACTCGGAAGTTAAAGGCCTTTTACTGGTGCTGAAGACTATTTCTGTGGGAAAATACGCATCAGAGTGTTTTTATGACGTGAAAGGACATCATAATACACTTAATGATTGTTATCAACTCACTTCGATATCAATTTATGCTATTTAATATTGCTTTTTCTAATTTTTTTTGTATTCCCTGTTACATATAGCGAATATTTCCCAAAGACATAAGGCATAACGAAATGAATATACCATGTAGAACAAATTAAATATATAGGATGTTAACAATGTCTATACTACATGATTAGTTAATCAATGTGCCAAACTGATACACTGTAAAGTAGAAAATGCATTATAGAAATCAGAAGACGATACTCTAAGAATGCCCATACATATTCTATGATGATTCTTTACGTTTCTGAAAATACAATATGCAAGAAGATACCAATTAGAAGTGCGATTTTTAAATTAGAAATTCGGATTGAATTTATCAATTAGAACGTTTTCTATAAATTTGAAAGTCAATGCTAGTTTGATTTCATCATTCAGTTTGTTTTATCTATTTTAACTCAAGTTCAAATAGTTCATAACAAATAAAAAATGTTACAATCACTAAAAAAAACAACAAATAAGTTACTCTTGATAACATAAAAAGACGATTACAAAAACAAATAGATCATGTGCTTTAATATAACTTTAGAAGCTCTAGATTTTGTACAAGTGCACTTATAAAAATATACTTTCATAGTCTTTAATTGTTGAATTTATAATCATTTTAAAATCTTTTTTGCAGCCAGTGACAAGGAAAATGATCTTTTTTTGAATGATAAGCCATTCAGAACTTCTAGCGTGATTCGAACTTTTGATGGATATTCTACGTTGAAAATTTCGTAGGATCCAATTAAAGTAGCAATAGCTTCCGTTTTGTGAATTCGTTGTAATAAGCGTGTTGTACTCAATAATGATGAAATCATTTTTAATATTGTTGATTGTTTGTATTTGTATCATGGGATACGCATAAATGGCTTCCTAAAACAAACAATAATAAGATTAGTTCTTTAAATCTATAAAATTACTTAAATGTTCATAAGAACTCCTTACATGATGCAATAATAACTTTTTTGGAATATTTGTAACGTTTCATAATTAAGTGCTCCAGTATTATAAATGGTTGCTTTTCTTCAATCAAGAAAATGCATTACCTTAATTTATATTTTCTTTTCGTTGTTGATCTAAATATTTGGCTAACTGTATAAGATTTAATTTTAATCTTTGAACTATTCATAAAAATAAAAATAAAAATAAATAGCGAATCGATCAATTTATACAATTTTCAATATTTACTGAGTTTACCGTCGACAGGGCTGGATACAATTCAACAATCTCTTTGATTGATTTCATATCATGAACAAGACGCTGACGATGGACATATGTTATATCCATTTTAACTTTCATTTGATTTATATCATAATTTGTAGTATGAATTAAAGTACGCATTGCTTCTGCTTGTTAACGCATTTGCATCAATGATTCTTTTGATTGTTCATTTTCTTCCAGTAAATATTGCTAAACCGGCAAAAAAATTATAAAAAAAAATATTATTGTTCGATGCTTACTCAATGAGATACCAATTCAACCTTCAAGAATTTTAATTTTTGATCTGACATTTGATGTTTATATGAGTGACGTTTTTTCACCAACACATCTGATGAACAAACTGATACTTATCGATCGCGAGAGAATTGTTATTTCAATGCTGAAAATAGCGAACTCTAAATGAAAGAAAAAAAAAAATAAATGAAACTGAGAAAAGTTTATGAATTTTTATCAAACATTCCATATATTCACCAAATAGTTTGGAAAGCGCTGGATATTTATTTCTGACACTCATTATCATACGATTGAATTCGAAAGATGTTGTATAGAAATCTATACCATAAGTATTTATCAGATCATCGCGAATTGTTTTGACAACGTAGTTGTTGTTTCTTTCTCCATCGTATTCAAAAGTCAGCTGATGATGGACTTTCAGCAGCTAGTTCGAATGTTTTATTAAATTTTGAAAGAACATAATTTAATAGAAATTTTGTTTTTTATGTGATATTGTCGATGTTGTCGAAGAATTTTCAGGAGATTGATGAATTCGATAGAGATTCATCGAAAGATTTATTTCATGTATTTGAAGTTGATGGAAGTGATTTCTGATGAAGCTGTTTTTCCAACATAATCACAATCATTGTCAATATTGAAATCATTAAAAAACCACAATGAATTTAATTCATTTCAATGTAATTGTTGTAACTTACAAATAAATCAGATTACTTTTCATTCAACGATATCATCGTACTAAAATCGAATCAAAGGATACAGCTTATTAATAAAATCAAGGGAACAAACACTATTTCTCAGTTCAGCCAATTTTTCTTTCGAATATATTTAATACCAACGGTTCATTTTTTAACAACATCATTATTCACTGTGATCGATAATAATTCTTCAATTGATGCTGAACTTAAATTTAATAATGATAAACCATCAATCTTTTCATCTAAAATAGTTAAAAGAAACATACTTATTTGAAAGATGATAAATGATTCGCTATATAACTTTAATTCTCTCTACATATTTATTAAAACCATATCCGATAAACCAATATAGCAATATGTTTATAACTCCACTCCATCAATTAAGAATCAAAAATGGGGTGTGGGCAAGGAGGAAAAGCAGGTTTTAAAATTTCAAAAGATATTAAAAGATTTCTGAAGATTTCAAGCGATTCCAGTTGCATACAATCTGAACACACTTATATGACCGTGAGCGTTTCTTCTGTACCACTAATATGCGAGTTATTCATAAGAATCAGCTCATTTTCGCTTGTGTTTATTAGGGCTGTCAGTTCAAGCTCGGTACTGATTACATGAGCACTCATTAGCGTGATCTCTACATCCCGCGCATCAACCAATCAAATTCGAGCAAGCTGATTCTCAGCTATTAAAAGGACAAACCATATCGATGTTCGGGTTAAATGAAAGAGGACCTCAGAAAACTCTAAGATTGGTTCGAACAATCCTATGTTTTGTCCAAACAATAGAGAAAAAAAACCTGTCGAAATCTAATTTGTCAGTAGAAAAAAGCTACAAACCAACCAAATTTCACCAAGATTTTTCTTCTCTTGTTAGGACGAAACATAGAGTTGTTCGAGCCAATCGTAGGTGTATCTGAGGCTCTCCTTCATTGGACCCAAACATTGGTATAGTTTGCCCTTAAAATAGCTGAGACACATCTTCCTCGAATCTGATTGATCGATAGAAAGAACCTATCAACTAATCAGATTTGAGCACAGTTTTTTTCTTTAAGGTTCGGTTAAAAGATCGGCTTGTTCGGGCCAGTCTTAAGATTATCCGAGGTGTTCTTTCATATCATCCGAACAACACTATGGGTTTTCCTTACAATAGCTAAGAAACAGCTTTCTCAAATCTGATTCAAAAGACTTCAACATATTTCAAAGATTTTGAGTGACTTTTTAAGGTTTTACAAAGTTTTAGAGATTTTGAATGCCAAAATCTGTTTTTTCTCTCTTGGGTGGGAGTGTATTGAGGAAAAGGCCCACACTCACAAGCTAACTGTATGAGATCAGGAAAGTTTATAATAGTATTCTTTCATATAGACTGTTTGAAATTCTTCCTGTTACTTATACACATGAATCGTGGTCAAAATGTTTGTTGCGTTGGATATCAATCGTTTGACAATGCACACATAGGGCAAGAAGTTAATCAGGTTTTTTAAACTATTTCTTAAAGAGCATAGAAATACCCTTTCAGATTTTATTGTTGTCATATCGTAATGACATTTTACATAAGAGAACATGTTTGACTCTGTTGGACCGTATGCGCACTGGTTATTCGTTTTGATTGTTGTTGTACATTGCTACCGCTACCAGGAGTAGCCGATGTAGGTCGTTGCATGTCGAGCAAGTGTCGTTGAGGCTTCTCTATTTGCACTTCAGGCACGAACTGTTGCAATCAAGCAAGTAATTGTTGAAATTCCTTACCTATCCATATATTGTCATTATCATTCTGTTCACTCTTACGTCGAAAATCGATGTATGGTTTTTCAGTAAATACGAGTGCCATGGGACCGGGTGGTGGCCATGTGCTTGTTTCTTGGAGTAGTAATGGTATGATTGGTTTGATTAGAGCGTCAGCTAGTGCCATTTCTCGCCGACAATTGATGGACGCTACATATTTTGGCATGACACAAGTGAGTACACATAATGAATGACGAATTCCGCTATCAATCTTTTCGAACAATGACTCCACCACCCATTTGAAATATATCAAGCTACACTTGATAACCCAACAATGTGAGTCGTTTGTACAAAGCTACAATCTGTGTTTGGTGATCCCATTGATAGGAGATCATCGGTTGAGAATGTGCCACCACTAGCGAAGTGCCCTTCAGTGATGTTGGCTCATCCTTTGTTGTCTGCTTCTCGTTCTTACTCGTTGACGGTTGAAGAAAGATGAGATTATCGATTTTAGGAATAAACCAGTTCCTATACCGGTTACTGATCATATCTGCATCGGGTGCCACATGATAACGAATTGGACCGAGTAGTTCGGCAAATTTCTCCTCAGGCCAATAGTTTGTCGATTCGGTGTTTTTGCGATTGAAAAACCGAATAAAGAGATATTCGCGCATAATAGGACCGAGAGCACCTTCGGGTGACCACGGTTGTTTTTCCATCTAAAGTGGAATTAGTGGTTTACCTGTGCTCACACACAGATGAACTTCACGGGAACAATTGTCAGATTGAGCATAAACTTCTGTCGTACAACATAAAACGACTTTGGCTCCGCGAATGCCGGCATCGATTTTAGCGAAACGTTTATCGCCACCGCCCATCTGTCTCGTATCCATCCAACAAGCATAGCCCGCTTCCTCGAGATGGCCTTTGAGTATAGTCACAGCTACTTGAGTACCCCATTGGTAAGAAAGAAACACAGGCAGAAGACGCTTCATTTCAATTTGAAGTTCATCGGAAATAGCGTCACTAGCAGCAATCACTGCTTGCCGAATAATTTGCTCTGCATCATTTCATCCAATTTCGCCAAGCATTTTGACAAGGCCATAGATAGCTTTGTCAGTTTTGTGTGTCATGTACCATTCGTTGAGTAAAGCCATGCATGGATCAACTTTCGTGGCCCAATGTCTCAGTTCACTTGTCGAATAGCCAAAACTTTTTCTGAGCAAACGCTAATCGTTGTCTGCTGGACGATTGAGTAGTTTGCTCACTGCACCATACCACTCAGGTAAATAACTCAAGGTTTTAGCATCAATACGTTCAATTTCACTTGCATGTACTTGTATTTGTTAGGCAACGTCAGTTAGACGTGCATCGACGTGGTCGACGCGAGTACGAATATTGGTTATCTAAAACGAGCGAAGAATCATCATGAATGAATACAACCAGATTCTCACATTGAGTTCTTGTTGTTTGACAACATGAGTTACTTGTTGCACATCTTGCTCGGTTTTTACAACACGCTTTTCCATTTGTCCCATTTCTTCTTGGGGTTGTTTGATCGCTACTTGATGCTCAGCTGTAATTTTCGTATCATCGATATAATCAAGTAACCATTGACAAGTTGCATTCAATTCGACAGCAATCAAGTCGTCGCATCGAGCTACCAGTGCCTGTTTGCATTTTACTCCGATCAATTGACATCCACGAAATATTGATGATCGAATCTCATTTGAAGTGTTACTATCTTTGAGAAGATTTGTAAGAGTATTGAGATTCTCTTTGGCCGTCAGTTCGCCACCGACAATAACAGATGCAATGAGATACTGTTGAAGGCATCCGAATGCGCATATATCCTGTTGTTCGGTGATAATACGAAGGAGTTGCGCACGATGTGTGTCGAATATCTCAGGTTGATAGTTAGACACTGGAACAAGCACTTGAAAAAGGATCCGAGCATTTTTTAGTAATGAAGTATCTTCTAATGAAGTGAAAAATAGTTGAGATGGTTCGTAGAGATTAATTCAGGATGTACCTGGGTAATCACCCACACTAGATAGGCCAACGATGCCAAATTCTGTGCGTTATCGGCGAATAATTCGTTTAGAAGATCGTTGAAACGAGCATGAAAAGGCTCTGGACGTTTTTGGTATAACATCTAGAGAAATGTTCGATCACTTTTTATAAATACTGTCAACAATCGAGCTGACACAGTCTGAGATTATTGTTCTACATGCAAATGATAGTGACATGTTTTGTTCGGTGCAAAACTTTTAAGAAAATTCGTTGTTTTACTCTGTGTGATAGAAAGTTCGTTCATAGTTAGATTAATATATATTCATATTCAAATTCTAATAAAGATTTAATATGAATTCGAAAAGGATTAATGGTCAATGGATCTAGCCGATCTAATAGGTTTGACTAAAATATCAAAAATCTATGTCAACCTCATATAGAGATGTTCCTGATATAAGATGCTGGAAATTCACATTTATCCCTGGTCAAATGTTTCGGCTGTCGAGACCAGTAGGTTCTATTTCTTTCTAGCAACGGTTCCTCCAAGTTCTGTTGAGTTCGTTGCCACCGAATTCCAGCATGGTTTTCATCGGATTAGTTCTGACTGAAATTTAGTCGAAAGTCATTGGATCTCGTCTGAAAAATCCCGTGCTGGAATCCGATTGCAATGAACTACTCGTCAGAATTCAGTAGAACCAAGCGAAAGTGATCTGGGATTATACATATCTTTACAGAACGTTTTCGTCGTATTTTTTGAAATACTTACTGGTAATATTACAAGAAAATTCATGTCCTTCTGGTCAATTGTAGTAGCAAGAAATTGTTCGACATGATCGACAGCTACTTGTGGTAATTTCATGCCAACAGTTGTCCAAAAGCTGAGCCACCAATACTTCAAATCTTTATCATTGTCATCTTGTGCTCGTATGCCTAGTCGGCCAAGGCACGTGTTGTAGGCACGAGCATCTTCTTCATTAATAAGACATACGCGAAGTTGGTGCCAAAGATTTGACATAGCAAAATACTCGAATTTCCTATTTCCGTTTTCGGCATACAACGGTCGGTCAAGTACAGCCAAAGAGAAATTGGATAGTTGTCGATGAAAAGTATTTGTTAGTGTTTTAAATATGTTCCATGAATTTGTCAAGTCGTACCAATAAGAGCTTTTAAAATATGACATGATATAAATCTATCTCGAAAATAATTCAGATTTACCTGAAAGAAACATCCATGTCTAAGGCGAACGTTTTCATGATCATCGCTGCCATCGTTTGTGTTTACGCGATGTCGAAGTGCACCGATTAATTGCGAACATATGTCAATAGTAGCTTGTTGCACATCGATTAAGTCTAGTATTATTCCACCCATTTTGTACACATGCATACTTTACGTTGTATTCTTGTCCGACCATCGAAAGATGCATTTGAGTGATGGTTCGTGTGTCGCTCGATATATGATAGAATTGACTTTAGCTCTGTCGAAGATCAATTGAATAATATTTTCAAGTGAGTCGAGTTTACTAAAGAAATTCGGATGAACTATGGAATTATATAAGCCACAAATGCGAATGAGATGGCCTATGCGAGGTGTCAGCTCTTTCCATGGATAGAATTCGGATTTGATAAGTATTTTTGCAGCATGCTCAGGCGCATCCATTGTGAAAATTTCTAGTGTAGCAAGGATAAGATCGAAAAAGAGTGATGCCAATTTTTTGTTAGCCTTTACGCTGTTCAATGCATAGAAAAACTGATAAAAGATGTTGGGGCACAATAAATCCCCACGTTCTCTAGTATTTGCAAGCAACGAGCAGAGTCGAATTGACATTTGGAGTAGAGGTGCAAGGTCAATGGAGACAAAATGCTTCACAATAGGCCTGTAAATGAAGCGAGAAGCATATTCAAATTTGTCCATTAAGACGAAACGTTCCATAGTTTCAAGCATTTTTGTATAGTTTGATTTGAACAATTCATAATTATTTTCGAATGATGTGACGAGAAGAGAAATGTCGTCGGACGTAGCATCATCTAAGAGCAAAGTAGACAAGTCGAGTTGAACATCGGTCAATGTATCATTGTTATCGTACGGGCTAGACAAAGAATGTCTCAATGATGATATCATCGGTGGGCACATGGATGATTCGAGTGAATGTTGCATGGCATATCTATCACATAAAATACAGAGAAGTCAATAGTCGATTTTAATGTTGATTGCAATTCGATTATTTTTCATTTTTATTCCAAAAAAATAGAGGAAAAAGCTTTCAGCGTAATCTCTAAAGAATTACAATGTGAAATACGATAGAGCCGCTTTAATTGTATACGAAGGCTCTCTTCATAATGATCAGAATTCGTGAAAGATTCAATGAAGTAGCATGCCAGAACATTTCTCATGATCTACGATGAGGTCTACGGACCATTCTCTAGCTAAAAAACGTAGATTTTTACACTTCAGAATTTCAAATCTATTCATAATCCAAAAGTTCCAAAAGTTCGAGCTTCAAAAATTCAAAAAAGCCCAAAATAGTATGCCGATATGTCTGTCCGAGAAGGGCTGCGGGTTCACTTTTCTCGCTACGTTTTTCAACACTCATTACCAATCGTGTTTCACAAAAGAATATTAAACTTAGCAGTGGAAGTGTACTTGAATATGAGAACATGCGACGCGATAATTACCACAACTTCGAAATAGTGTTTTCCCGAAGTTTTTCGTGCAATTCTGGCCTTGATTGTCTCATCAGTGTTCATTGTCAGCATTTTTCTGAGTAAACTATTTGGAAAGCTCCGATTTTGCAGTTAATTGAACATGTTTTAGGAAACTGATAAATCTTTCTTTTTCTTCAGACACTTTGACTTTTTGTATCTCTTTTCTCTCACCAAACATAATGGTCATTCACTAGTCATATCTATATAGGTCTTGATAGGCTGTTCGCATGACCATCATAATTTCTTTCTTCTTCTGTGGACTTATGAAAATAAGTTCGATCAAATCCGTCGTCGGTGGAATGGAATATAAGGATTCGCCGAGACGAAATTTTTGATAGATTATTTCTAGAAAGTTCACATGCCAACTGTCGGTAGTATATGCAGCGAGAACACGCGTGTACGCTTGCACAACATCATTGAGAGTAGTGGATAATTTTTCGTCGACCAGCTGTTTGGTAACTTTCCGGATAAAAATGAATTTGATTGGGTTCAACAGTGGATCGTGTGGTTCGACAAGCAAATAGTCAACAAAAGCATCCAATATCACATTTGAATGAACGGATGTTGATTCTTTATCTAGGTAAGTACATGTATAGAACCATTATTTTTCGAACAGTTAATTGTTTTTGTGTCAACTGCCGTATGAAGTTTTCCATCGCAGAGAGGTAACAAGACAACTTTGTTTGTATGTGCCCATATCAACACATTATAACAGCGAATATATACTACGTGGAAGAAAAGAGAAAAAGAAAAGTATTTCTCCATGTCGGAAGACTGGTAAAGGACAAGAAAAGAAAGGCGCACGTTGATCTGAACGACAAAATAGTCCTGACAGCGCGTCAAGTAGAGTGTAGCATATTCTCTGTGCCCCGTTGTACGGCAGCAAAACGAGAATTCTTTTTTCTGGTATGTAACTTTATTGTCCGTATTAAATAAAATTGACAATGTGACGTTAATAGATAAAAAAAGAAGTTACGAAGAACGCAACAATAAGAAGAAATAAGAACAGAAGATAAAGAAGAAAAGAGAAAATGAAAAATTTACAATCATCATAAAATAGATAATCTGAGACATCTTCTATAATGGAATATTAGGGGTGCAACAAATCTCTCAGATATTTGAGATTTGAGGCCAAATCCTTGATATTTGGGTTTGGATTTGGTTTCCGAAGTTGTGGATTTGGTCTAGATTTGGTTCTAGACATACATCTTGTTTGAATTTAGACTGTGGCTATCGTTTGGACCCGATTCGGACTGTAACTAAGAATTTCAACTATATTTTGATTTGGAATTGGGGATTTGGATTTGAGTTTGGATTTGGATTTGGGATTTGATTATAATTTAACATGACTCTAAATTTTCGTTTCTGATAGAAAGGAACCAAATCTGAACACCAAAACCAAATCTATACCCAAATCCCAAATCCAAATCTCAAATCCAAATCCAACCCAAATTCAAGTCATTTCAGATCAATTAACACGATTTAGGATTCTTTTCTCTTTTCTAGGACTTTATCTTTCAAATCCACCTAAAATTTGGGTAACCGGACACCAAACCCAAACCCAAATCCAAATCGCAGTCGAACACAACACCCCTATGGAAGATATAGAGTAAAAATGACGAGACAGAATAGACAAAGCAAAATAACAATGGCGTTAATGAAATTATTTGATTACAAATGGCTAAAGTTGGAAAGAAAGAGTTAGACATACTAATACAGCTTTTGTTTACTCAATGTCGATTCAATTCTACATTTGTCGTTATGTTTTCTACAATAGGTATGTATAAATAAAGCAATATATAGGAAAGAATGCGTGTTTGAAATACCCATATTACTGAGAGTGAATCGTCAAAAACTTTATCAAATCTATTTTCGAGTGTTGAGCTTTCTAAGATAATCTATTCAAAAATTTACTGCTCTTACACATACTCCTGGATAGATACCAGCTCTTTTGTGGAACCCTATATGCTAAATATGGAACCAAATTTAGTTGGTATTGATGTGCTTCTGTCGAGGTTTCGAGATATTTATTAAATTTTAACCAGTATTTATATAAGTAGTCATTTATGGTGTGTTCTCTTGATGATGAGTAAACTGTCAGGTCGTACCAAAATTTCAGGCTATTGATTATGCGTAAACCTGTACAGTAGACGTGTTCGACGAGTCTTTGTTGATTTTCGGTATAGAAAAACGAAACTCGAGAAAAGTCAGATTATAGGCGGAAGCGGATATGCAAAAAATAGTTTCATTCTTAAATGGATTAGAGATAAAGGTATTTTATTAAAGAGAATACGAAAAGCATGATAGATCTTTCTAATAATTTTAAGGCGTTCTAAAATGTAAATACTCATCCCAGTTTAGTTGTTATGTTGATACCTAGATAGTTTAAACATTTTACAAAACCAATTTCTAAATATGAGTACTATTTATGTGCACAAAGGTGATCTTGTTCGAACTCATCATAGTTGTATGGATGTGCGTGCAAAAACTCGCGATGATTGAAAATAATTCGATCCGATTAATTTGGCTTCTTTACAGCATGTTGAAAGTCATTTGGAAGATTCTTTTCATAACTATCAGAGAGTAGTCGAATATAACGCCTCAAATACTTGCCACCGACTCATCCTGCTATGAGCTACAGTAATCTGAAAAATCGTTCGGTTGTATAATATTGTAGTCAATGTTGAAAATTAGCAAAAATATAAAGAAGTATTGAAGCATATTCAATGTGCAATCGAGTCGAGCTCGACAATTGGAGTGGATGGGTGTGGATGTTGAAAAATCGAATATAGAAACGTGCACCCACACCCAAAATGATTCAATCGTCACGAACAATTCAATAGTAAGATCATAAATCGCCATATATTATTTACATATTAGGCATAGGAACATATCAGTCATGCAATGAGGATTCGGTTTTGTTTATCGTTTTAGTATCGTAACACGAGTCCCATACGAAAGTAAAAGTTCTATCTTTCTGTAGAACTACTCGATGAAGGCAAAGAAGGAAAATCCGGATGAAAACATCTTTCGTGAACTGCACAGATACCAGCGAACAATGCAAATTGCATGGTTTTGTTGAACGTTCTCCCACGGAGAAATAACGAAGGAAATCAAAAATATACTGTTTCAATTTATGAAACAGACATTTTTTTGAAAAGTGTTCCAAGTTCATGAATGCATTCCAAATGCTCATATCATGAAATTGATTAAATTTGCATCAAAACCATACCATTGAAAATATGAATAGCAAATAAGAAAGTCTCTGTATCAATTGTGTCTGCTGCAGATTCAGGTGAAATGGTTCTACTTGGACTCTTCTCAAGGTCCAGGTTGATTTCCTTCAATGCGACATGCTGTGAAACTTTAAAAGTATCTCTAGACGAACTTCTTTTGGTCTGCGCAAGAGAAACTTGAGAATCTTGACCAAGAAAGTCCTGCGCTATGGACAAAACTTGAGGCAAGACTTGAAACCTTTCGGTGAGATCAAGTTCTTGAACTTCTTGTGCTATCGCTTGATATTCTTGCTCATCCACTTGAAATTCTTGCCTATGCGCTTGAATTTTTACCCAAGCGTTNCTAACCCTTGAGTTCCATCAAAATAGTGGATATATTCAATTAGTTTTACTTTTCGTAAAGACTTTTCTCTGAAAAATCGTTTTCTAAGTTTTCTTATATTATTTAAAACTCTTTTGTTCTTTCCTTTAGTGGAAGACTTATTCATTAAAAGGTTACTATGTATTAATTGCAAAATTGATCTTCCAACAATGTCCAAGAAATGCCTCAAGTGTACAAATGATAATCCGGAAAGTTTACCTTTAGTTTTTGACGTATTACAAGCAATTGTTTTTACTCGATCATATGATCGATTATGCTTCATAATTAATATATATCGTGAAGCTTTTACAAAACAAAAAACTGATCATGATATAAATGATATTGTTTATAATCGAAATTATGAAATCTTATGGGATTCCAATTCTTATCCATTTCTTAGTATTCTTCTTCACTTGGATGGAATTAATTTAGGAAAATCGAATATACAATGTTTACGAATTTTGAGTGGTTCTGTCGTCGAGCTTCCACCTGCTATACGAATTCGGCGACAAAATAATCTAATTTTATCTTTATGGATTGGAAATGAACAATCAAATATTGAACTATGGTTATATCGATGTTTTCATCAATTACTAAATCTAAAATATGAAGGTAAGAGTGCTATTTAAAAAGTGAAAATCAATTTGGTGCTAAGAAAGAGCTGTTCTCACTACCTATTAGGACATTCTTAGCTCATTGTTTAAAAACATATTTTTCCGACATTTTCATTTGTAGCAAGGTCTGATGCTGTTTTTTTGAAAAGCGACACTAACCGAAATATAATGATAAACATTGAACAAAAAAAAGTATTATTTCTTCAAAATTTGTAATAAACGATTTATCTATCTGAATAGCAGTGAAGTAAAAAGATGAAGATTTATCAAAGAAGAGTAAAGCTTTTTAAGAATCCATCTGTTTGTAATATTTAGATTAGATACCTAGGTCGACCTACAGTTGAGAAAAATTGTGTGATAAGCTTCGTGGGTCACTCTGTTATTCGGTCTTTTATCGATTAAGATAGTTTTAGTCCTTTTTGTTTGAGCCTTTCTCTAAAGTGACAATCGTTCTATATTTGGGCGTGGCTGTGAGTATGAGAGAGAGTGTGGGCGTGGGCGTGGTTTGTCCTTCATTCTATACCCACATCCATATCCTACAGCCACCCACATTTGCTGAACACGCTTCTGAAATCATTCTTTTGAAAGTGTAAAGCAATTATCCTTTGTTTTATTAGCTGCATTATTATGAGCTACTCACCTTCTTTTTTTAGGTTTTCCAACAAGATAAGGTGATCATATGATGGTGAAAGTATGCGGGATGATTGTCGATTGTCCTGCAATCAAGCTGGTATTAAATCATATTTCACATGTCGGTTACTATTGCTGCTGGTTTTTCAAAATAAAAGGGGAGCATGTTATAAGCAAAATACAATATTATTACGATAAAACTTTTCTTGTCAGAGATACATTTGATTTTGCATTCAATTCAAGAAGAGCACATTATCTTCGGACAAATATAAATGGACGATTGGGAGTGTAGGTGTGGGTGTGGATGCAGACATGAGTATCATACTCCATACACTCACACTCGACTTCAAGGGAAAGAAAGAATGACAAAGAGTTAAAATCATATATCTGTTGTTACAAATAATTATATGTTTTCAGTCAGTGTATCATACTTGATAGCATTGATACTTTCCAGATAGAATTCATCTGTTTCGTCCTCAATACTCCAGTGTCCTTGAATCTTAAATCCTCCAAAGTTATCACAATAGATATTTCCATTGTATTCAACAGAATGTTGCCCAACGTATTGCTTTGTGAAGGAAACCTTTCCTTCATTATCATAATTCCCAGCCATTGTGAAAGGTCCAATTTCATCATTTCCTTGACCTAAAACTCTTCCTTCGCTTAAGCTAAAGAAATCAAAGAACATATCAAAAGCTTGATGATATTGATAATATTTTCCTCCTACAGCACCACCTTCAAACCTTGTAATGGCTTGAGATCGATGAGATTCTTCATCTTTTTTCTCTTCAAGAGCTCTATTAATTCGTTGCATAAGAGTATCGATACTGGAGTTGAATTGATTATCATCTTGCATATTAATTGCGTTTAAGGAAGCTATTATCATGTCTAACCATGTGTTTTGGAATTCCTTATCATTCTCAAGAAGAACAGGAACAATATTCTTCTTTAATTGAGAAGCATATGTAAGTTCTTTTTGACAATTAATGCTTTTGCTATAAGCAACAGTATTAAAACTAACAACCGTCGCAGCACCTTCAACACCACAAGCCATAGCAGCATTGATATTTCCTTTCATATCTCCAGCAATATCAAACCAAATAGGAATATTTCTTTGTTTGAGTATATCTGCTACTCGTTTAACAAGCTCTTGACTATTCCATTGATAACTTAACATGATATGTAAACCTTTAGGTCCTGATGATTGATTACGAGAAACTTCTAGATGGAAGCTATCAGATAATTCATCTAGAAACCATTTTCCATCAAAGAAGAATTGAGATCCATGATGAGTTATACTTCCAGAGTATTGAACATTATGTTGACCGATATAATGCTTTTTAAACTGGAATTCAAAGTCTTCTTTATCTGATAAACAAGTATATTTCCCATTGATTACAAAGCCACCGACTTCATCATCTCCTTGACCAGCAATATAACCATTTATCATAGCAAACATATCAAACTTCATATCAAACTTCTTTCCCCACTGAATATAATAACCTTGAGCAATAGTTCCATCAACGAGAGCATCAAGATGTTGCTCTTCATCTAAAGAATCGCTGATATATGGATGCAATTGTCCTATAAGATTATCCAGGTTTTTCTCAATATCATTTGCATTCGTTATCCTCGTCCATAATGCACCAGCACAAATAACGCCAAGCCAACCACTTTGAGAATAAGGATCTTGTGCTTTTATGGGAACTATAGGAATACCAGCTTCATCCACATAAGAAAGAACATACTTCGAAGTATTCGATGCTTCATATGCTTCACTCATTAATGGTATAACAACTCTTGCTTCTTCAGTTGCTATTTTTATCATTTCATGAATTCGTAATGGTGGGCAAACAGCTGGAATACCTTTAGCAACCAATCCTTCAGCTATCTTTTGAGCTAAATCATATTGACATGAACAATAGGAAATCATAACTTTACTTCCTTGTCTTTGTGAAGCTTTTGGTAATGGTATCTTTTCCATTTCTGTTGCATATACCTCTGGAAGAGTCAGATGGATGATAAATCTATTATACATATTGTTTATTTCCCAGTGTCCTTCTATCAAACATTTTATTCCCTGTAAATAAATCTCTCCTCGATATATAACGGAATGTTTTCCGATATATTGCTTATGCATATTGATATCACCATAGCCATTTTTAAGTGTGTATTGACCAGCAAGAGTAAAAGCTCCGACTTCATCATCTCCTTGACCAAACACTTTGCCTTGTTGCAAACCCAAAAACTAACGGAAATATATAACTTAGATATTAATATATCTGTCAATTCAATTCATTAAATACCTCAAATTCCATGGGAAACTTTTGACCAAACTGATGATAAGTAGCGGTCACATCTCCCGATCGAGTTCCACCATAAAATAGATGCTTTTCTATTGGTTGTGGTTCATTCTTTGCATCTCTTTCAAGAACAAGATTATTAGTTTTAATCCCCATAGAAATCAAGGATTTCATAACTTCATTAAAATCAGTCGAGCAACTACGTGTGGGAGCTAAAATAGCACCTAACCAGTCTGTAGGTTGAAAATCTTCACAAATCTTAATATTTAGAATCGGTGTTTTTGTTTGATCAGCGTAATTCAATAGTTTTGATCCACTTTTTGACATTTGTAATGAGAGGGATGGAAAAGCTAGAACCACAGCAGCATTTTCAATACCATTTGCAATTTTAGTATTAATGTCTTCATTTTCTCTAGGATGATAAGCTCTCAATCGTCTCTGGATGAAATGATTCTTCAGTTTTTCAGCCACTCTTACATCGGACTCATCTTTTTCTGCATAGGCAAAGAATATATGCTTCTTCTCTTGACGTGACGGCGTTACTGTTTCCTGCATTTTCCCAAAAACTAAAAAGAAAAACGAATATTTTCAGTCACAGGTCTTTTTCGAACATTTTTTTCCAAAAAAAAACATGTCTTTCGGCAGAGCCGCAAGTCTTTCACTACGAGCTGTGGACATGAGTGTGGGTGTAAACTTAAGTATCATACTTCATTCACTCAAAACGACATCCTCTGATCCTTTGTCACGGATGGCACTTTCCGCTTTTGTAACTGCTCTAACCCAGACGCAAGTGAGGTGCTCTGTATCGGCATACTCACCGTTATCTTAACCAATGAGTATCACTTCAGAATTCCATGACTTACGATAGAGTAAGGAAAGTTAATATTTTTTTGAATATGTACGTTGTTTACCGTATATTAAGGGTTTTCTGTAAAGGCATTTAATTTCCGGAAACTCATTCGATTTGATAAAAAGTCATATATAACATCATATGAATTTGATTTCCTTAATGGAAGATCGAGATACTTTGATGTTCTTTGATTTACTTCGGGTCAATTTCAATTATTTTTGAAGTAATGACTAATAAAGTTAAAGTTTGTTGGTTCTTTCTTATTGGATGATTATTGAGCGTGGAACCTCTGGTAATTACATTATTAGAGTAAAAAACGCACAAATCTATTTAGTTTTTGGTTTTGTCTGTTTGTATATACTTTCGTATATTGTACAGATCAATATAAGTTCTATGAACAAAGGGAACAAGCGTGCTCCTGTACTTCAGAAGTACGAAAGTATCAAGAAGTACAAAGAAGTACAGAAATATACTTGTTCTCCCTTGTCTATGAAAATCACTAACTGGCAAAATGACATTCTTTGCCTATTAATAGTCTTCTGAAAATGAAATCATTTACAAGATATATGTATCCATAATGGCTTCAAAATGAGTGAAAACAGTCTTGGTTATAGGATTTGTCTGGTATGTACTTCTTTTTTCTTCATTTTACTGATCAAGCCACAAAAGTCAATTATACCTAGTGAATTTTACTGATGGTTTCTTTCAACTTGATTGAATGTTGTGTACGTGAGATGAGTTTCTTGTTTTTCGAATGATTTGTTTGTGCTTCATGGCAGCATCACATGCTCGATTTGTGTTTCTTTCGGTCTTGTTGTTTTTCGTATCTTTTTTTTATTCTTTCTGATTTCATGCTTTTTTGTAACGGATTGTACATAGCAACAGTAAAACATTTAACGTAACAATTTATAAGGCAAAATAATGTACACGAGAGAAAATACAAGGTGTCTTATAATTATAAGACCGCCTACTGAGCTTTGAGAGAAATAAAGATTTCTTCAAAGAAGCCAAGTTTCATTTTCAATCTAATGTTATATTCATGGAGACATATAAGTAATCTACCATGTTCCAAATCGGTTTGAATTCGATCAACTAGCATTGATGAATAAATACAAAAACTTTTGAGTCTATCCTGTTTCATAATTATAAGACCTCTTCCACTTTTCAATATAAAAATATTGAATAAATACAGGCGTTACCAACTCAAATAATACTATTGAGGATCCATTGGAAAGATGAGATACTCAGCTACATGCTGGGAAAAAATAAATTTACAAAGGCTTTTTTAAACTCTCCTACCGTTTCAGAAACTATAAATGATCGACAAATTATATCTCAAAATGATCACTATGTAGTTTGAGAAATGTAAATTTTCCCTTGTTCAATGTAACGAAATTAGATTTAAAGCATGCCATGAAATAAAGAATGAAAAGTTGCACAGACTATATGTGTTTCAACCAAAGATTTTGAGGCTATTATTGATTCCGAAAAGATATTCAAAATATATTTTTCCAGAGATTTCAAGAAAAACGTCTGTCTTTGTGAGAAAAGCCCCTAGTTTTACTTCACAAAATGTAATATCATGTTCAATTTAATTACTAGCTCTCAAAACTAAATCGTCCTTGAGGAGAATTGACTTTATTTTTGAAAGTCTTTGTATTGTAAAGAAGTGAATATGCAACATGGCTTTGGAGTGCTACTGTGGGTGTGGGCGCAAACATGAGTATCATATTCCATTCACCCACATCCACACTTACAGCCTAACAGTNATTTTTCACATAGATCATTTCTGATCTTATCGCATAAAATTTTATCAAATATACATTCTTCTATGAGTTTATTGAAATCAATAATATATTCGAGATAAATGGATGAAAATGGTTTGCTTTCAAATATTTTATTGTCTATCAATGTTTTTGAAGGAATAATTTCCTTAAGAAATATTTGAATGGTCTTCATTGTAACAATATTTGTATTATTTACAGTACGTAAATATGTTAAAATATATTCTAGTGAACCAGATAATTGAAGAATAGAATCATTATCGAGGTAATCAAGAAATTTTTTATTTCCAATTATTCTTGTTCATGAAATAATTTTTGTTCAAACCGTTCACGTATATCATTAATTAATGAAACGTTTTCATCATAGAATTTAAATTGATAATTAAAAAATCGTATATTTTTAATATCAATTAATGGTAAGCAGCTAATTGTATTTTTTAATGCCCATTCGATTTCGTTATAATCATAAATAATATCTTTACTCATTTCGTATGAATAATTAATCGGGTGTGCACGAAGAGAGAAAAGATACTCACACTAACACGTACACCTCATAATTTGTATGTCAACATGAGCATTACTCGTTTGATATAAACAGTTACACAAGATTGATTATCATCAGGTCATATTTAATGAGGCATATGAAGAACTTGGACAAGTTTAAATCGATCATATGTAAACATTTTTTCAGCTATTGATTGGGCTATATTGAAACGTTGAAAACGAAGATCACGATCACGTTATTTATATGCTTGAATCGATAAACAACAAAAATCATCACGACTACGTTGCCGATCTGCTTGGAAAATAAGAGTGTCAGTCAATTATTTTAATCATTCTCTCTAAATTTGTTTTATTTTCTTGAAATAATGAACATTTTCATTGAACCACTCATCTAAAAACTTTTCTCATTTCTAGACACAGATACTCATTGTTTTCGCAATTGAAAGCTCTTTAATTAGTAGGTCTTATCCTATTAATAATCAATTTTGTAGTCAATGAAAGTTTCTTTCTTAACAACTGATATAAATTTCATGCAAATCATTTCATTTTTTTTATTATTTTTCGGACTTCTGCGGCTCATTTAGAATCTTGTAAAAGTCTTCTCTAGATCAGCGAAACACGAACTCTCTGTCGATAGTTTCAAATAATGATTATATGAGCTAATCTTGTGTTCATTTTGTCTTTATTTAGCTAGAGAGTTTATTGATAAAATAAAAGATCAATTGATCACAAGAAAATCTTCTGAATAATTAACGAATCTTCAAGTTATTATCAAATTAATCTTATTTCCAACTTTATTCGTTCATTTAAAGTTTGCTGTCTATATAGAAACGATAAAAATCACTTGTTGTGTTGTTTGTAATTGTTTCCGCTATTACGTTTGTCACTATTCGTCAACAAATAATGATAATTTTATCTCTTTTCACTGATTTAAATGCCACAAGAGATTTTTTATTATGAAATGAGTTCTTGTTTTCGTTGTTGATGGATACATTCATCCTGAATAGTTTGTTGATGAGCCACTGGTATATAAGGTATACTACGATAATGCCGTTCGATATTGTTACTAAGACCACTAAGAACTATGGATGGAAAAGAGCAACATGAGTAAGACTGAGAAGCTCAATTACGCATCTGTCACGATCTAAAGAATGGCGAAGGAACAGTATTGATCGACAATGAGAACAATTATGATCCAAATCATGACATCTACAAAGAAAAAGATGAGACTTTTGACATAGAGAATTTCGCTTGGTGATTTATTGAAAACGAAGAAGCACAGAAAAAAGTTCTACAGCTGAGTCGTGTCGTTGAGATTGCTCAAATCATGAATATATCCAAATGAACAATCACAGTATCATAGATCACAGTTGAAGTTCGAACTTCTTTTTTGTCCGTTGATGTGTTAATTCAATTTTTATCTTATCACAATTAATTACGATATCGAGCCTATCTTGTGTTCGTACATCCACGCAGTCAGTAAAGCAAGGAAGAAATACAAAAAATCTAAAGATAAAAAATCTAATTTGTTATTATTACTACTCATTGATGCGATATCCTAATTAACCGACTGTGATTTATAGTCGGACATTTGTAATTCTTAAATTTTGAAATTATCAAGCATCATCTCGTCGTTGTGCGTTATTATTCCATCCGGAATAAACCAACCAGAGAAGAGCTCGGTTGTATGGATGAATAGTGAGTGCATGTTACTTCGACTGATTATATCAACAAACGTATACAATAAGGAAAATTGTTCAAAGGGCATGGGTGCATAGTCGTCCATCATAAATTGACTCTAGTTTCTTTAAAGTCTTATGAAAAACAGGATTTAAGACTAGTCTATGATCACATGTTGACGAGTCATCAAATGCATATTGAATTTCTCTTAAAACCGGGCATACACAATGCACGATGTCGCTAAAACCATTCGTTGATTTTCGTTTAACTCTCTGAATTTAGTTTGTCAGAACAACTTAATATAATAAACAGTTCCTATTACTGATGTACTTTATATGCAGCAAATATCAGACTATGAAGATGAGTTTCATCCTAAGTGCATTAGTGGATCTCGATTTCAACATTGATTGGTATCTCTTCCATCACTTAGTATGAAGAGGTCACGTATTAGGTCGGGTACATGAATAGGTAAGAAACATTATACCTATGCATTACTCAAGTTTCATTCGCAAGTGATAAATATATAATATTTTTCTTTAGCCAGCCTTTTAACTTATATTAGGTTCTGATCAAATTTCGTCGGTTTATTCTATAATGGTATTGATTTATATTTTGCTTTTTTTTATTTTTTTTAATAATTTAAATAAAATAAGGAATAGAAAAATAGAAGAAAAAATGATAATATTGAAGCCATATGCAAAATAATGAATTAGTTCAATATAAAGAAAGAGAAATAA